ATATAGCTATAGGAAATTAATTTGTTATTTAAGTGGGATAGTTTTGAGTTTGTCTGGATGTTCATTCTTATTTTTTTATGTACATATATTTGCAGTTGTGTGTTTTATGTGATATGAATCTATCGTACCATATATGATAGGCATGTAGAGTGTCAATTAGGTTACTCATGTATATAGTATGGCTCTAATAGTTAATTATGATACAATTTCACAATTTACTAGTTTGATAACCCATATGATGGGTAAGGCACAATGCTAAGTCCTCATATTAGATATGATGAGATAGATCAACATTTATAAATATTTATGAGATTGAAGCCTCCAAGATTCGAGGGTGATGTTAAGCCCAAGGAAGCAGAGGATTCGTTAAGCAATTTGGTGAAGACATTTGACGATCTGTAGTGTCCTCTTGATAGGAAAGTATCACTAGCTATTTTATGTTAGATATAGAGGCAAAGTGCTAGTGGATGGTCTAGTAGGAGGAAGCATTTTAGAGGATTGAATTCCCTGATTAGTTGGTAGGAGTTCTCATGTGTAGTTATATCACTTTCTGCAAAACATTAGATGTAGGAGACTTTTTTGAGATTAGTTCAGATGACTAGAACAATTATATAGTATGAGATAGAGTTTACTGCTTTAGCTAGATGTGCTCTGTAATTGGTTAGCACTTCTGCCGAGAAGTGCTACATATTTTTGAGAGGACTTCAAGATAGTATTAGATAGCCTATGGTACCATTTCACATTTCTGATTTCTCTGAACTTATGGAGAGAGCTCATCGATAGAGAACGATCTGATAGTTACTCAACAATGGTGGACTGCTAGTAGGAAAATGTTCAATGGTGAGGCATCCAACAATAAATTTTCTATGAAGAAGAGCAAATTTATACTTGGAGATTCTAGTAAAGGTGGGTAGTCAGTATCTACAGAGTCAATGGTAGTGACAGTGTAGCTAATTCTAGTTATGTTAATGGGGAACCTGTGTGCCAGAGTTATGATAGACGTTATTTTGGTCAATGCTATAGGATGATTAACAGTGCTTCAGATGCGATTAGATAGGGCACCAGGTAGCAGTGTCCATAAGTAGTATTCGTCTGACGTTCTGAGCCTAGATCCGAGAGCATTGTTAGATCAATAGGGAGATCGAGGGAAATTATGCTCCATACATTTTTTGAGGAACCATGTGGTAGAGCTGGTGGTTTTGATTATGTGGCAAGGAGGTCATCTAATAGTAGTTGAAGAGAAAGCCTAGTAGTTTCGTTGCTCTAGCTCCAGTTCAACCACATATATATAATTTGACTCAATAAGAGGCTTGAGATGCCCTAGATGTTGTGACGGGTACACCTTACATTTCTGATCCATTATGTCATATTTATTAGATTATGGAACTAGTCATTTATTTATTTTTGTGTATCTTTTTGATTTATAACACTTGCCTTTAATTTTACTATATGTTTCTCTTTCTATTATTTTATTGAAGGGAGATGGTATAATAGCCATTAAGGTTAACTTTTATGATATTAAGATTTTTTATATGAAGTTGAGGTCTAGTTTGATTTTATTACAACTTTTTTGCATTGGATATTATTTTGGGTATGAACTAATTGAGTTGATATGAGGCTCAAATTGATTACTTAGAAAAATGAGTTAATTATTTTTGGGCAATGTGTGAAGTTCTAATTCTGCTCCAGGATCGACCAGGACGATCTGAGATCGTCCAGGACGATCAGTTGAAATTTGCTCCAGAAATTGCCCAAATTGCTCCAGGTGATTTTTCTCCCAGGATCGGCCAGGCCGATAGGGCCATCGTCCCAGGCCGATCAGTTCAGTGCAAAAGACAGAGAGCAGGACTTTTTCAGAATTAATTATTGTCCTGAGGATCGTCCAGGGAATCGGCCAGGACGATGGGTTTTTGGTCTGATCGTCCAGGACGATCGAGGCATCGTCCCGGGACGATCAGTGGATGGCACAAGTCAGAGAGCAAGGGGTTTTTGAAAATTAATTATCGTCCTGCGAAATCATCCCAAGACGATGTGAAATTGGTCTGATCGTCTCGGTTTTCAGGTTCTGGGAAAGGGAAGAAGGTCTTGGACTAGAGTTCAGAGTCTGATCAGTTATAGGTATTTTGTACTTTTTGATTTTTGTACAGTCATGGCTTTTCTTCTTTGTTCTTTCTGTCAGCCATGTACTGTATTTGTAGATGATTGTTTTGAGGAAAAGGAAAAGAAAAATATAGATGATTTGTTCCGTTGCATTTGATGTTTCATAGTAGCTATGTGCATCTGTTTTGAGTTGAAAGATTTGGAAGAATCAGTTCCGAAGCAAATTCCAAAGCCAGATCCTGGTCTGTTCGTTAAGCTGGTCGCGGCCCGGTGCGGGCGGGATCCTTCCCGGTCGGGTCGGGTCGTGACACAATGTGAGTTATGCATTTCATGGGTTAGAGATATCCTAGCTTGTTTGATTTCTGCTGTGGAAGCAAATAGATTGTGGAATAAGGGGTGCATGATATTTCTAACATTAGTTTGGGATTGGAGTATAGATTATGGTCTTCTTTTTAATGTCCTGATAGTACAATAAAATTTTAATGTATTTTTTGAGGAGTTAAACAGTTTGCCTCCGAATAGAGATATAAAGTTTTGCATTGAGGTAATTTTGGGTATAACCCCAATATCTAAAGCTACGTATAAAATGACAACAAAGGAGTTTCAAGAGTTGAAGATTTAACTTCATGAGTTGGTTAACATGAGATTTGTTCATCTTAATGTGTTTGCGTGGGGCGCACATATTTTATTTGTGAAGAAAAAGGATGATAGATGCGCATGTGTATTGACTACAAGGAGTAAGTTACTATCAAGAATAAGTATTCTTTACCACAAATTGAAGATATATTTGATTAGCTTGCTGGATCTTCTGTAATTTTAAAAATTGATCTGTAATCTGTATACTATCAAGTGAAGGTGAGAGAGACTGATGTGATGACTTTATTCAATACGAGGTACAAACATTATTCTTATTCATGCCCTTTTTTAGGTGACGAATGCACCTGCCTTCTTTATGGATTTGATGAACAAAGTGTTTAAGTATTATATGGATCAATTTCACTAGAGGAAAATCATCTATCACTGGCCGCATTTTTCGGTGGCAATTGATCATTTTTCGGCAGCTTTTCGGCGAAAAATTTTTCGCTGGTAAAACGCGGCAGAAAGTTTTTTCAAGGGGCTAACCGACAGTATTAGGCCGCCAGGAAATAAAAAAAAAGTAATTAAAAGAATGAAACAACTGACTGCCCGAACACTGCCCTCCCACTGCCCTACGGGGGCTGCCTCGAGCGATGCCCACCCACGCAGCCCCATTGCCTGCCCGGCTGCCTTGCCCCGCTGCGCGCCGCCCTCCAGCGTTGATCGTTGCCCGCGCGCGCTAACTGTTGCCTGTGCGCGCTGCCTGCTTAGCTGCCTGCTACCCGCCCGCTCTGCTTGCTGTGGGATTCGAACTGGGTTTGGAAATTTTTTTCAAAGTCTCAACCTGTTTGTTGAAGAGGCAAATGTTTAAAGATGTTATTTTTTTCTAAATTATAATTAAATGAAAATCAACATTAAAAATTAATTTAAATAAAATATTAAAGTTAATAAATAAAATTAAATAAATTAACAATTACGTGAACTAAGTTATTAAATTAATAAGTAATTAAAATAAGTTATTAAATTATTAATTAATAAATGTCAAATTTATGATTTTTCAAAAATTATTAAAATCTGTTAGAAAATGCCGCTGTAAATTTTGCAATCGGAAATATTTCACCCTGATCCGCAGAAAAACAGCCAGAAAATAGGCCACCGAGATAAGCTGCTGATAATGAGCGATTTTCCTGCAGTGTTTGTAATTATTTTCATGAAAGATATTTTGATTTATTCTGTTTTTGAGAAAGATCATATGAGACATCTGAATAATATTTTGAATACTTTGAGGCAACATTAACTATATGTCAAATTATCCAAATGCGAGTTCTTATTGAGGAATATTTTACACATGGTGAGTAGTACAGGTATTTCAGTTGATCCCCGAAAAATTCAGACAATTACTTATTAATTGAGGCCTACTATTGTGTTTGAGTTATGCTTTTTTTGGGTATGATTTTATATTACTGGAAGTTTATGAATGCATTTTCTCAGATTTCTGCATCTCTAATGAGACTGACTTAGAAGTCTGTAGTTTTTGTCTGAATATCAGAGTGTGAAGCTAGTTTTTAGAAACAAAATAATTGTTTAACTTCTGCTCTAATTTTAGCTCTTCGCATCTCTAATGAGACTGACTTAGAAGTTTGTAGTTTTTGTCTGAATATCAGAGTGTGAAGCTAGTTTTTAGAAACAAAATAATTGTTTAACTTCTGCTCTAATTTTAGCTCTTCATTCTAATATAGAAGGATTTCAAATATTCAGAGATGTTTTACTAAAAGGTTTAGAGTATGTTCTGATGTAGCGTAATAGAGTTATAACTTATGATTTCAGATAGTTGAAGCAATATTAGAGAAACTATTCGTCACATTATCTAAAATTTGTTCATGTGATTTTTGCTTTAAAGATTTGGAGACACTATTTATATGGTGTTAGATGTAAAATTTTCAACAGTCACCAGTGTTTAAAATTTATATTCATTTAGAAGGATCTGAACTAGAGGCTAAGGATATGACTTGTGCTGATCAAAAACTATGATCTAACCATTCTTATGTTATGGTGTTAGACGAATGCATCTATCGACTTATCTTATTTGAAGTGAGCTTGACTAGTCTTATTGTGCACACAAATTAGGATTTATAGGAATATTATTAATAATTATAATAATATCAAATAGATGAACTTAATTATTTTAATTAAATCTTAAAAAAAAAATAAAATTTTAGTAAAAATTGTAGCTATGCTGTAATTAACCTAAATATTTTTCCTCAACCACACGGCCACCCTAATCAATTACAAAATAAGATTCCGGCCGGCCGGCCCCCACCAAAGCACAATTTCTGCTGCCAGGAAAATCAAACACTTCTAAGCATTCGCCCGCTCATATTCTCCTCTTTCTGATAGCCTTGTCGGTCATCTTGGTCTGCAGAAGAATAACATCGAATATCTCGCCGACGCTTCCATGGACCCCGCCGGTGCCACGTCCGGCGACCTCGAAAGTCGCTTCATGGCGGCTTTCAAGGCGTCAGAGGAGCGAGGTGACGTACCCCTTGCTCGCGCGATGGAGGTCGCGCGCTGTGTTGGCGCCGGCGAGGGACCGAACTCTGAGCTAGGGCAGATCATTGTATCCGCCCTTTGCTTCGAGAACAACACGCCGTCGCTCTGGAAACTTCTCGACCAGGCCATCGCCGTTCGGCTTCTGTCGCCTCTCCACATCATCGCGCTCCTCACGGCCAGGTGCGGACGCGAATCTACTGCTTTAATATGTTTCGTCCAATTGCAGTGATTGTGTTGTTGATGTAGGGTTATTCCGCACCGTCGGGCGCAGCCGGAGGCGTACAGGCTTTACTTGGAACTCCTTAGTCGTTATGGCGTGGCGTTGTCGTTGCGGGACTTCGGGTCTTCGAGGGATAAGTGCGTGTTTTGCTCCTTTGTTTAATCTATTTTACATTTTGTTTGAAGGATTTAGGGGGATTCGGAGCGACTTCTTTCTTCTTCAGTAAAAGGACTGGTAGTCACCATGGCCTTAGAGGTAGGTTTGAATGATGATTCTGCTAGTGATCAGGAAACCAGTTGGGGGTTAGAGATACGTTTTTTATTTGTTTGGAAAGTTGTGTGCCGAAGCACAAACAAACACACGCTTGTAGCCGTATAGGCCAAAGCCTTCAACCAACTAGGCTAGAGGCGGGTGGCGGAGTTTTTTTAATGGCTTGGTTTTGTTAGAGGCGGATTCTATGTACTTAATTAGCCTCCTGACGGGGCTCGAATTTGGAGAGTCAAATAAGAGAGCTCAAAATGAGAAGAAAATAAAGAAAACGGGGGAAAATTTCCTTTGTAAAGAGAACTTGGTTGAAACTGGAAAGAAAAGAATTCATGTTAATAATTTTTTTTAATAAAATTATTACCTCTGAGCCGCTTTTTTCCTTTTGCTTCCTCTTTTCTGTAGTTCATTGTTTTCATTATTCTCTTTGTTGTAGGGCTTGTCTGAGTCCAAAACCGAATACTCCCTGTGAAATGTTCTCTCACTCTGCCAACATTATAAAAACCAACTTCCCATTTTGATATAAATAAACGTGAGTAAGAACTTGTCCATAGAGTCATCTGATTACCTCATGACTATTTCTAGCATGTTTTTATGTATTATGTTCAGTTTCAGTTTCTATTAGGCATACTCTTTTAGAAGATTACTTAAATTCCTATATTAGTCAACCATTCTGATCGGTGGGCTCCTCATAGATTAGAAAACACAAAATGGAGCCAATTGTTGCTACAAGTCCAATGACGATCTTGCTGGAGCATATTGAATTTCATTGTTTCATCTAGCTTTTTTTTTGGGTTATCTTGAAGTTCGACAATCTATGTTCAACTTATCTACTGTATCAATGTGAGGTTTCCATAACTAATTGGAATCCGTTTTCTGAACCTTACTTTTCCACTGACCATTCATTCCTCTTTGGATCTGCAACTAACTTTAAGTTGGTTTTTTTTTTTTGGTTTGCAGGATAACAAAATCCATTGATGATGCCCTGCAACTTTCACATGCATATGGGATTGAAAAAATAGATTTTAGCTATATGATAGTGTTCTGTGTTTTAACCATAATCATTCGTTTGATGGATGGCATTCTAGAAGACTTTGGCATGCAGTTTGCATTTTCTGACAAAGATGCAAATAAAAGTGGTACTGAAACCTTCCAAGATATGGATATAGATCCTGTAGGAAATTCGATTGACAAGAGAAAAGGGCACCGTGAACAACTTCATAGATGTAATATACTTATGACGTTAGAAGTGGTGGAGAAAATTACTGCCGACAAGAAGAACAAAGCTTTCCTTCGTCATATTTATCTTAACATGTATGTTCTGTCAAATTTTTTTCAACTGATTTATTAGCAACTCCAATAAGGGTGGTCATTGGTAATTTTGCTTCTTTCATCTTATGTATGTTTAATCTTTCAGTTTTTGGTTTAAGTTACACAACATGGTGACATGAATTTTCCCTTTGTGTGTATTTATGCTCTATGTCTCCTATTTAAACAAGGTGATGTTATGCTCTACTGCATTAGTTATTGCCTTCTTGAGCATTATGTTAATGCTGAACTGCGAAAGTGAGGGTATAGGATCTAGTTGTAACTGTTTGAATGGATACATCTAGCATTTACATGTTGCTTTTGTGTTCCAATTGTTCAGATTTCCGTACTGTGTATGTTAATGTAAAATTATTGTGTTTAGGCCTGAGAAGTTCAACAGCCTCCTGGAAAGACTACAGCTGATTGAAGTTCACAAATCTACATTACAGTCCTTGATATCAGGGAACTATATTTGGGCTAAGTTGTTTGCAAATGTACATGAAGTATTGGATGGCGAATACAAATCAAATAGGTTTGGACTTCTTGGCGTACTAGTTGATGCTGGATTGAGTGGCCCCACTTTTAACTACTGTTTGGGAAATGATAGATCAGCTTGTTGGATCCCTTTTGATATTATTATGGAAAATGCAATGGATGGAAGCCATCTTTATGCTATTTCTTCTGTTGAGATTCTTACAGGTGCTTTCTATTCAAAAGATGCTTACTCTCACAATATTAGATTTACTTTCCATCACTTTTTTTTTTCTCTTGTACATGCTAATTACTTAACATCAAAGGCATCCTTTTTTTTACTTTACTTTGTATTATATGATGCAGAGTTAACCAATACACTGCAAGTATTTAATCAAGCAAGTTGGCAAGAAACTTTCATGGCTCTCTTTGTGTCTGCTCTGCGGCTTGTACAACGAGTTGAGATTATCTTTTGCTGCTTTTTTTTGGCGAAGCTTGTAGGAACTTGTTGACATTTTCCATTCAATACTCCCTGCATTTATATTTATTGTCAATACATATAATTCCAGGACCGTGAACCTTGGGAAGGGCCGATACCCCACCTTGACGCTCGATTATGCATGCTCTTATCCATTGTTCCCCTAACAATTGTTGCGGTTGTGAAAGAAGAAGTTCACAACCCTTATCCTAGGAGCAGTTATGAGTATGACTTGGGGACTAATAAGCTAACTCCTAGAAGGGATGGACTAATTTCTTCCCTTCAATTATTGGAGAGTTATACGGCACTTCTAACTCCACCTCCATCAGTTATCAATGCTGCAAACAACGCTGCTTCAAAAGCAGCAACATTCATTACAAATTTCAGGAATGGAAGTAGTAGTCTTGGCATCTCCGGACAAAAAAAGGCATCTTCTGTTAAAGCAGGTGACCATGCCTATAATTGATTTTGTTTCTATCTCAATGTTGTTAGTCTGTTCTTTGAATATCTACTTTGTATTGTTTATTCATGCAACACTGCCTTAAAAATTCGGCATGCACTTGGAGCCTTTTACATAGACATGCAATTATGATTTTTGAGATGATTTTGACTGAATAGAACTCTTAACAATATTATGTTTAGATCAAAAAAATATTTATAAGAACAATTTGCAAGTAAAAACATATTGAGTTCTGTTTTTCTGCATTTTGTAAAAGGTCCCCATTTCATTGTTCATGATCATGTGGCACATGCTTGACCTATTGAACTAGATTTTCTAGTTTCTTTAGAAGGTACTGGTGTGTTTCTTCATTTAGTTGAATTATAATTGCACACATGAAGGTAGATATTATAATGACCCAAATTTTAATTGATTAATGAATTGCTAAATACTTGATTTAAAATTGATTAGAACTTTGTATATAAATATGCCTAGGAGCGTTGTGGCACTATGGTGGCAAGCGCAGCGGCGCTTTCCTTTATTGACCTTTATGTGCAAATGTAGCAGTGTTGGAGATCTGGTCGTAACAACACTGGATGCTCGAGCGTTGTGGAGCTAGATCAGTGAAATTATTTTTTAAAAATATCTTAAACTACTATTGCATTTAAGTACCCAATACCATCCCTTAACCCATTCACCTCATCTATATAGTGTCCTTGGTTGGGGAAAAGGAGAGAAGGGAGAGAGAGAAGAGAGAAAAAGTCTATCTAAGGGACTGTCCTCCCAGTTAACAAAGTTGTTCTGATTGTGATAAGTAACCTTAACCTTGCTTCTGTTTTCGATAAGTTTGATTTCTAGGTTTTTCTTTCTCCATTCTAGCAAGCTTTGATATCATATTGAGATTTTACTGTTTAGTTTTGTGTATATAACATTTTATCAGAAATGATCTGAATAAGTGCACACCAGAGATGATTTAGGGCTCTTACATTTATTCTATTTGGCTTGATATGTCATGAATCTAATATAGTTCATCTAACATGACATCTAATATGACATGCATTCCAACATAAGTACACTAATAGGACATGCATACTAAATATATATGTTATAGTTCAAAGTACCAATATGATTTGCATATATTTTACATGATAAGTGCATAATATGTCATATGTGTATCAAAGAAAGGTTGGCTAGAGATATGCTGATTTCAGTTGGTCGGAGACTTGTTATCCTATACAGGTGGGTGGGCTGATGGGCTTTCTTTTAAATAAAAGTTTGTGGTGTAATTGTAAAAGATATGAAAATGGAGGCATAAAGAGATTAATTGATATATGAAACAATTGATGGGAAGTGATAACTTCTACGTGAGGCCTTTTGACTTATTGACTTATGATTGATGAGATTGATACATGATATGATTTATTCGTGTAAGTTCGTCCTACATCACATGATATGACTGATGCAGGGAAAACACCATATGAGCTAGATGTCTTGACTTGCATGAATATGATATGATTTCATATGATTAAACATAACATGACATGATATTCAAATAAGGTATCTGATAAAATTGATACAAGTACATGATATTGATACAAGAACTTGATGCATGGTACTCATACATAATGTGCATTACATGGTGTATATATGTATTGCATAACATACATGCACTGATATGATATGGCATGCATAGTAACAGATATATTGATGGATGATGTTACTTAATAGGCGTAGTGATATACATGACATTACATAAATAACATTTATGATATAAACGCATATTGACAACCGATTGTACATATGTATGACTATATTGATTCACATGACAACCCTTCTTTTAGAATTTTACATGACACTATAATAGGATTGAGTTAGAGATTGCTGATTCACCACATGGTTAATGTTCATATTACTTGTCACAAATCAGAGGTTTGAGAGGAAAAACTTAAACTTTATTATGCAATCTCCTCCCTATTTATAGATCTATACAAGATGTATTGATAAAGAAACAAATACCTCTAAATAATTACAGAATAATGAGTAATACAATCATTCCTAAATTAATAATCTAACTATGGAAGGAATTAATGTGATCCAGGCGGTCTTCCCACGGATTACTGTTCATAGCCGTGGGATCCTCTTTGGAATGTGAGGTTGAGATTTAACACTCCCCCTCAAGCTGGGGAATAGGGATCTGTAATTCCCACCTTGTCAATCATTCTGATAAAGGCAGAGTTGTCCAGTCCTTTGGTAAGGATGTCTGCAAGTTGATCCTTTGATGACACATAATCGATACATACTAGACCACTGTCTAGTTTTTCTTTAATAAAATGTTTGTCCACTTCTATGTGTTTGGTCCTATCATGCTGGACTGGATTGTGGGCTATACTGATTGCTGATTTATTGTCACAATGTATCTTCATGGGGTCATCCAACTTGATATTTAAATCTTCCAGAATTATTTTGATCCATAGTAACTCACATATTCCCAAGACCATAGATCTATATTCTGCTTCCGCACTAGATCTTGCCACCACATTTTATTTCTTGCTTCTCCATGTAACTAGGTTCCCTCCAAGAAATGTGCAGTATCCAGAGGTAGATCTTCTATCTACTGGTGATCCCGCATAGTCAGCATCCGTGTATACTTCTAGGGTTATTCAACGATCTCTCTTAAAGAGAATTCCTTTTCCTGGGTTTCCTTTAAGGTAGTGTAATATCCTGTCCACCGCTTGCATGTGAACCTGTTTTGGATTCTGCATAAACTGATTGACCATGCTTACGACAAATGTTATATCGGGTCTAGTGTGAGAAAGGTAGATCAGTTTCCCTACAAGTCTCTGGTAGGCTCCTTTATCTACATCTGGATCTTCTCTAGCTTCCCCAAATTTGAGATTAGGTTCTGCTGGTGTCGGTGCTGGTTTACAAGCTAGTTTACATGTTTCTTTTAGAAGATCTTTAATGTATTTTTATTGTGAGATGAAGATTCCTTTGCTGGAGTGAGCTACTTCAATTCCAAGAAAGTATTTTAGTCTACTAAGTTTTTTGATGTCAAATTCCTTAGTAAGACTTTTCCTCAACCTAACTTTCTCCTATTCGTTTTTTCCAGTTAAGATAATATTGTCCACATATACTAATAATATTGTGACTCCCCCTGATTCTGAGTGTTTAAAGAATAATGTATGATTCCCTTCACTTTGTTTATACCCATTAAGAAGCATGAATTTTGAGAATCTTCCAAACCAGGCCCTTGGTGATTGTTTGAGCCCATATAGAGCATTTTTTAATCTGCACACCTTGTTACATTCAGATTTTTTCTTAAACCATGGTGGTTTTTCCATAAATATCTCTTCCTCCAAATCCCCATGTAAGAATGCGTTTTTCACATCCAATTGTTCCAGATGCCAGTTGTACTTGGCTGCTAGTGAGAGTAGTATTCTGATGGTGTTCATCTTAGCTACAGGTGCAAATGTTTCTTGATAGTTAATGCCATATGTTTGAGTGTATCCTTTTGCCACTAGTCTTGCCTTATATCTTTCTAGTGTGCCATTAGCTTTGTACTTTACGGAGAATACCCATTTGCATCCAACTGGTTTTTTTCCCGTCGGTAAATTGGTGATCTCTCATGTATTGTTCTTCTCTAGAGCCTGCATTTCATCTATCATGGCATTTTTCCAAGTTTTATCAAATAAGGCCTCAGAAATATCTTTAGGAATTTTGATATCTTCTAGTGTAACCAAGAAATTTTTGTGTGAGGATGAGATGTTATTTAAGGATATAGAGTTGGTTATAGGGTATAAAGGAGGTGGTGAGCTTACCTTATTTCCAGGAGATGGTTCAGATTCTTGGATCTGCTTCGGAGTATAACCTGAACTTGTACGCCTGGAGTATACATTTCCAAATCTAATGATAGCTTTGTCTTCTATTTCCCTATCCTGATTTTCAGGTGGATTGGTTTGAGGTGGTGGAGGAAGGTCAAGAGGTGTTAGTTCATGTTCCTCGTCTTCCTCAATTTCAGTCTCCCCCTAAAGATGAGGCTTGAAAAAATAGAAATTTTGTTCATCAAAGGTAACGTCAACTGAGACGAGGGTTTTTCTTGTAGGAGGGTGATAATACTTGTAACCTTTTTGGGTAGCTGAATAGCCAATAAAGACGCATTTGAGTGCTTTTGAATCTAATTTTCCTCTATTTTGGCTATGAATATGGACGTAGGCGGTGCACCCAAAAATTCTTGGTGTAAAGTTATGATGGGTTCGAAATTCGGGGTAAAATGAGAACAAAATTTTCATTGGAGTTTTGAGCCCAAGGGCTGTTAAAGGTAGTCGGTTTATGAGATAAGTTGCAGTTAGGAGAGCTTCCCCCCAATAGGATTTGGATATGTTATAGTGGAATAGGAAAGCTCGAGTGGAGGCTAGAAGGTGACCATTTTTTTTTGCAACCCCATTTTGTTGTGGGGTGTGGACGCAGGAGAACTCGTGGATGATCCCTTCATTTTGGAAGTAGTAGGAAAGTGTTTGGTTGAAATAGTCTTTTTCATTATCGGAGCGAAATCTTCCTTCTTATTTTCACCCCGAATTGATTTTAATCATGATATGAAAAAAGGGAAGAATTGTGCTAACATCAAATTTATTTTTAAGGAGATAGTTCCAAGAGACTATAGTGCAATCATCAATGAATGATACAAACCATCGAGCACCAGATATATTGGGGATTTTTGAGGGTCCCCATATATCACTGTGAATAAGATAAAAATGAGTGTCACATCTCTCATTTTTGTTTGGGAAGGAAGTTCTTTTATGTTTGACTAACTCACAAGTTTCACAATGAAAATGTTTATTTTCTAATTTCGAAAAAATTTGTGGATACATATGTTTTAGGACATCGAAAGATGAGTGTCTTAACCTATAATGATGAAGACAAATAGTAGAATTTTTATCAACTAGGAATAATATAGAGCAACAATTTTTAGATTGGTTTAGTTCTTCCAAGTAGTACAATCCAGCTTTCTCCTTAGCAAGTTCAATCTTCTTCCCCGATCTCTGATCCTGAAATAAGCAATAGGTAGGATTAAATAAAGCTTGACAATTATGATCATTAGTAAGTTTTTTGTATTAAAATTAGATTTGTGAATAGTTGAGGTACGTGGAGCACATTTTTTAGGGTGAGGGAGGGAGATAATGTTATGTCTCCTTGGCCTGCTACCGTGGTAAGAGAACCATCAGCAGTGATGATTTTCTTGTTGCTTGGGCAAGGAGTATAGTTGATGAAGTGGTTATGTGAGTAGGTCATATGGTCTGTGGCTCTTGAGTCAATGATCCATAATTCCTTTAAATGATTTTTAGAGGCACTTAAACTAATAGAAATCAGAAACTTACCTGAGAGTGCAAGTGATGAAGATGCATTTAATTTTTCAAGGGATACTAGAAGTCGTTTCAGTTTATCAATATCTTCTTTATTAAGCTCTCCAAGGCCGAACTGTGTTTCTGGGTTGGGCTGACTTGCAATGTTGTTAGCATGCGATGTGCCTCTTGTTTCGGTTCTTTGATTCCACTCCTTATTGAGGAGTTTTTCATGTATTTTCCAGCACGTTTCCTTTGTGTGTCTTGATTTTTTTGCAATAACTGCACCAAAGAGAGTCCTTATCTTTGAATTTTGAAGAATCTTTACCCTTCTCCTTCCATGAAGATTCTTTGTTCATCACCATTGCTGAGCTCTCAACGACTTTTGGTTCTAGCATCACTCCTCGTCGGCTTTCTTCCGCGCGGATGAGAGAAATGGTTTCATTGAGTGATGATGTCTCATCTTTGCCAAGGATTTGGACTCTAACCTGGTCAAATTCTGTATTCAGCCATGCAATAAAATCATAAACTCTATCTTTTTCAATAAAGTTATTTAGGATTGCAGCATCTTCCGAACATATTATGCATCTATAGTGATCAAGTTCTTGCCACAGATTTTGTAGAATGGTGGCATATTCCTTCACTGTCTTACTCCCTTGTTTTGTGCTTCCAATTTTGACTTTAATTTCAAAGATTTGAGCCACATCACGAGCTTTAGAGAAGGTCTGTCTAGCAGCATCTCATATGTCTTTTGCAGTGGAAAGGAACATAAATGTATACAATATGCGTAAAAAAAATTGAACATTTAAATCTTAAATATTTATTTTTCTTACGAGGCACCTTTCTATGTTGTTGAAGAAGTTATTAATGCAGCTTTCCTCTTGATTTCATAATTCCCATCACAACTATTCTTGTATATTGATATTTTTTTTATGCGCTGAAATCTATTTTTGGCAGTTGGGAACATGCTTCACCTTATTGTTGAAGCATGTATTGCGAGGAAGTTGATTGATACGTCAGCTTACTTTTGGCCTGGGTATGTAGTTCCATATGCAACATCAAAAGATTCCATGCTAATTCAGGAATCTTCTTGGTCTACCTTCATGGAAGGTGGCCAACTGAATGGTTCGCTGGAAAAAATTCTTATCACGGTGCCTGCTTCAAGGTATTCAAATAACTTAAACTGTTTCCTGCTAGCTTAATAGTTAGAAGATTTAATTGTCATTGCATTAGTAGGGCCTTGAATTGCGTTAATTTTATTCTTCTAATCACGGGATTTATTAGTTTTTTGGTTGGATTTAGTGTTGCAGAGCTTGAGAAATTATATGATAAAGCACTAAATGGTTCTGAAGAAGAGCAGCGATCTGCTGCTAAGATTTTATGCGGCGCATCCCTCCTTCGAGGGTGGAATATTCAGGTAGTTGATTCATCTTGCAGATTTTTTGAACAAGTAGTGATCCTACTGGTCACTTTGTTACGTCATTTCACTGACTTTTCCATAGTCATACCTTCTGTTTCTTCACAAAGATGCCATTGAACCTCCTTGTGTGTACTTCCTTGACCTTGTGATTTGTGCATGCAACAATTGCAGGACTAAAGGTATATTACACATGGGTCTTCATATTTTGCATGTCCAAACGAGTACTTTTATATGTTTTGTCAACTAGTGACCGGTTAGCAAATTTAAGTATGTGGACCAACTATGAGTTCATTCGGCTGGACAAAGTACCATGCTGTACTCTACAACATGTGTTAACTCTGAGCACAAATGTCACGCCTGCCATTGGGCTTGGAACGTATTATAGATATTCAGTCGAAGGGCGCAAGTTGAACATCAATAAATAATTCTCAAAGATGAAAATATAAGATTTCAATAATATTTATCAACCAATATGATTATTAAAGCATCTAAATCCAGTAACACCTAATTTATCTGCAAAATATAAATAAAATTTAGCTACACTATTGATTATTGAATAAATTAGATAATTCTAACTTTAATCACCTCCAATGACATAACTGAACATAACCCTAGCAAGACGATGTACCTTGGTGTATGCTTTTTGCTGATGATATTCTTGTTGTTGATAAGACTAGAGAGGGGGTTGAAGATAAACTTGAATTATGGAGGTCAACCTTAGAGTCTAAAGGTTTTCGTTTGAGTAGATCTAAAATTGAATATATGGAGTCTAATTTTAGTAGCAATATACCTAGTGAAGGGATTGTGACTTTGGGCGATCAGGTCATTAATAAGAGTACACGTTTTAGATATCTTGGATCTATTTTTTAGAGTGATGGTGAAATAAATGGGGATATTATCAGTAGAATTTAAGTTGGATGGTTGAAGTAGAGGAATGCATCTGGCTTGTTGTACGATAGAAAAGTCCCCCTCAAACTTTAGGGAAAATTCTATAAGATTATGATGAAACCTGCGATGCTTTATGGTGTCGAATGTTGGCCGTTAAAAGGGAAGCATAGTACTAAGTTAAGTGTTGCAGAGATGATGATGCTTAGGTGGGTAAGTGGCTTTACCCTTAGAGATAGGATACGAAATGAGCATATACGTGAAAAGGTTGGAGTAGCTCCAGTGGAAGATAAGATTAGAGAGTCTCCTTAGATGGCTTGGTCACATTAAACGGAGGCCTTCCGATGACCAGGTTAGGAAAGTTGAGGTATTAGATTTGACTTATGTTAAGAAAAGGTAGAGGTAGGCCTAAAAAGGCTTGGTTAGAAAATATTAGAAATGATATTTCTTTATTAGATTTAAATGAGAATTTGATTTTTAACAGGACAATGGCGAAGAAGGATTCATGTAGCTGACCCCACTTAGTGGGACAAAGGCTTGATGTTGTTGTTGTTGAAAAATAGTGTAGTACAATAAAAACCTTAAAATATTATTTTACACAATCCTTGGTAATTTGGTTATTTTTTTGAAAATTCGCTTTTTTTGCCTAATAGGATTTTCTGCTGCATGCCATTAGAGAAAACTGTGTAATTTTGACACATGCTCAATTACGCTTTAACTGCTATAATATGATGAGAAATATGCATATGTGATTAACTAATATATGTTGGGAATCATAAGGGTCAGAATTCTTTGAGATTATGTCTGGGTTCAGGGAACATTCAGGTGTCTATGAGACATGTTCTAATGGTTGTAAGTCATATTCTGATGCCTACGAGCATGTGCTGGTACTATAAGCAAAAAAGAGAGTCATAAGTGGCTAAAATCCTTTTAGATTTTGTCTGGGTCTGAGAAATGTTATATGAACTGCTCTACAATATGCATTGCAATTTATTTATCTATTTAGTAATATTATTTAAATAATTGAATGACTGATATACTCTTATTATATGATATTTCTCACTAGTAGATTGTATTTAACTGTTTTTAAATATACAACAAAATTTAATAAAAGAATTTGAAAATTTAAATTTGTTTGTGTGGCCTGCTGAACTGTTGTAGCTCAATGTGGTTTGCTTGTTATTTTGATGATCTAGGAAAGGGAAGGAGACTATCGATTAGAACTTCAGGATTAGATATGAGGTTATATATTTTTCGTAGTTTTGATTTTATTTATGGTTATGGCTAGTTTATTATTCAGTCATGTAGCTTCTGCATGTAGCAATGTACTGTAGTGTAGATATATTTTGGTGAAATGAAAGAAATCTTGTGGATGAGTTTATTTTTAATATTTGGATGTTTTGGTAGCTTTGTAGTATGTAGTTTATTTAAAATGAATATTTGAAGAGAATTTGGGAACATTCTAAAATTAGATCTTAGGATTAGTTTATCACAGCTCAACATGATAGGACCTATCTTGGTCGGGTTGGGTTGTGACAAGATATAGTATCTTGGCAGAACTGAAAGGGCATTTGTTAAGAGCTCAATAAATAATGAAGAGGCAAGCAGAATAGCAGATGCACAAAGGAGAGACATTCAGTTTGAAGCAGGGGAAAGAACTTAAATATTCGACCCTACATACATAAAACATTGGCACAGAGAAGGAATGATAAGTGAACCCCCCGTTTTTTTGGTCCTCACGAGATAATGGAGCACATTAGTCTCATGGCATATCAATTACAGTTACCACCGTCGTCAGCCATCTAGCCGGTGTTTCATGTGTCCCAGTTGCAATGGATGATAGGAGAGCACAATACGTCTTCTTCACTTCCTCGACCTTGATGGACGACATGGAGGTGCTGTTGGAACCATTGGAGGTTGAAGGAGTGCGCCCAGGAGTAATTAGATGTTTCATGTGTCCGATTGGAGGTTGCCAGCCATCTTCCTGAGTACGAGACCACATGGATGTCTTATCGTATTATTCAACAACAATTCCCTTCATTTCATATTGAGGATAAGATGATACTTTGGGTGGGGGTATTGTTAAGCCGGTCCAGAAAGGTCCAGAAAGGACCGGCCATGGTTTTTTCCATGCCGAAATATGGTCTGGCCCAGGTAGATTCCTGATACATCAGGGTGAGGCCTAGGGTTTAATGCGAGGAGGTTGTGGCTAGGAGGGGGATTAATTAGGTGATGTTTCCTAATTGAAGAGGGCAGATTTGAGGTCTGATTAGTTAAGAAATGTTTCCTAATTGAAGAGGGCAGATTTGAGGTCTGATTAATTAAGAAATGTTTCATATTTGAAGAAGGCAGATGTGGGGGTTGATTTGAGAGGGAAATAATTAAGGAATAGGGTAGATTTGGGGGCTGATTTGTTAGGGAATTAGGGGATGGCTGTTTTTTATTGTTTGCTTTAAATAGCTGATTTATCCTAGGTTTTGGGTCATGTTTTTGTATGCAGAATTTTGTGAGTGTTTGCTGTTCACTGTTTTTGTGATAGATTCTAGTGGCGTGTAGGATTTTGGAGATAAGGTCCTCTTGAAAGAGGACCATTGTATCTTGATGTTTCATATTTATTTTCTTATCAATAAAATATGTTGGTTTGTTGAATTTTACGTTTATTTGCTGATTTTTGATGCTCAAATCCTATCAAAACCATCAATAGGTTGAAACTAACTAGTTTTACTTTCTTGAGATCAATTGATTAGCACATGTCCTTGGATTGTTAGTTGGCTGCCGAACTGGAACCTCACCTTCAACTCTAGTGAAGTCAAATTTTTTGACCAAAGTGCCATTTTTTCGTCTAAGAGCAGGACTAGAAATGAAATCATTAATAACTCATCCATGCAGTCCAGAAAAAAAATATTTTGCATTTAGTGCTAACAAAAGATTTTAAATATTTCGCACACCTATATTTCACCAGCCAAAATTTTCCTTAAGTTGTACTCACTAATCCATATAGGGTAAGCCTAAATGAACTGCTTGTAATTTACCGAAAGTTGTTTGTTTTCCTATGGTCTCTGCACTGTATTAATTCAGCAACTAAGATAATTTATATGTTGCATTTATGTGGTAATCCCATGGTGCATGTCCATCTAATTCCCTTTTGACTTTTCAGGAGCATGCGGTACGCCTGGTAGTGAAGCTGCTATCCCCTCCTATTCCTGCAGAATTTTCAGGATCCGGAAACAGCAGTCATTTGATAGGTTACATGCCCATGATAAGTGCCGTTCTTTTTGGAGTTTGCTCTGTTGAGGCAGTCCATATCATATCTTTGTATGGGATGGTAAGCATATGATGTTCTAGACACCTGTTTTTACTGCTATTTTCAGGTGTGATACTAAGCGCTACTATTGTTATAGCTGTAGTCCATGAACCGTGTACACTGTACGGCAACAACAACAACATCAAGCCTTTGTCCCACTACGTGGGGTCGGCTACATGAATCCTTTCTCCATTGTGTCTTGTTAAAAGTCAAATTCTTGTTTAAATCTAATAAGGAAAGATCATTTGTAATATTCTCTAAACAAGTCTTTTTAGGTCTACCTCTTCTTATCTTAACATAAGTCAAATTTAACACCTCTACTTTCCTAAGCGGGTCATCGGAAGGCCGCTGTTTTATGTGACCAAATCATTTAAGATGACTCTCTCTAATCTATCTTCCACTGGAGCTACACGATCCGTGTACACTGTATTGAGTAAAATTTACCTTCTCCTGGTACAAAGCAACGTGCATTGCCTAGATAATAAATAAATATATATATATACCCATTACTTTTGAACTCTAAATCTTGGATCCACTGTCTGCAATATGTGTAATGGTTGTAATCCTTGTTTCATGATTTTTTTGGTTGTTAGCGTCCTTTCTTTTTTTGACTTGCTGGTGCCTTTCACTGATTTCATGATGTTTTTTCAGGTTCCTGAAGTAGCTGCAGCTTTAATGCCCCTTTGTGAGGCATTTGGGACATTTCCACCACAATCCATTCACAGAACAAGCCATGTAGATGAGACATCAATCGATTCAGTATTTTCATGTGCCTTTCTCTTTCTTCTTCGCCTTTGGAAATTTTATAAACCTCCTCAGGAGCATTGTATAGCAGTTCGTGGTGGGACCATCAGGGTTGAGTCAACTTTAGACAGTCTCTTATTGATGCATAATCACCGAATTGCATTTCAAGACTCTGGTAGTATAGTTAAGTCCAATAGCTCAACTGATTCACCCAAAACATTATCAGGTGAACCTGTTTATGTTGACTCATTTCCGAAGTTACGAGCTTGGTACTTCCAAAACCAAGCATGTGTTGCATCAACTCTTTCTGGTTTGTGTAGTAAAAATCCAGTCCATCAAGTAGCAAACAAGATTTTAGATATGATATGTCGGAAAATGACTAAAGGTGGACCAGTTTCTGGTAATCTGTCATCAACTTCTAGTAGCAACATAAGTGAATCACCTGTAAATTGCGCGGAAGATGCTTGCCAGAGAATCTTTCTTCCTGCATGGGAGGTTCTAGAAGCTGTTCCTTTTGTTCTTGAGGCTTTTCTGACAGCATGTGCCTATGGCAGGCTTTCTTCTCGGGATCTAACTACAGGTTTGAGGCATTGACATCTTGTTTCACGGTGTTCTTATTTTTCTGTCCACTTATTGGTTTATAATTGACTTTGGCCATCTTAATTCAATTGTCGGCATCTCTTGGCAATGAGATTTCGGCACCTCTAATATACAAGAATATCAGAGAAAATACATATAATATTCTGTTTTATCTTGCAATTTCGTTGTTTTCCTTAACATCTGTTTTATTAAGGTTGGTCATTATGAAAATTGATGGTGAGTGTAGATTATGCTTGACATTCAAGCGTTTGATAGCCTTGTCTTTTAGAAAGAATGTGTTTCTTTGTTTTGGCCATCTGTGTTTACTTTTGATGCGTCCTAACTTGTGCATGTTGTAGGAACATAAGACACGTTTATGTGCCATTTAGGGAGTGAGGGTAGAGGCAGGAGAATTGTGTTGGTTTTGACTATTTGATTGTGCACGACAGTGGGTCACAGGTGCACAAGACACTCTTATGGGCCATTTAGGGCGTGAGGATAGGAGTAGGAAAATGGTATTTGTTTTGGCTATTTGATTGCACTGCATGGTAGATCACATTTGCAGTAGTTTGATTTGTCAGCTACTAAATATTGAAAGCCAAAGTGTCATTTGTTGGGACTATTTCAAATAACATTAGAGTATTAATAGAGATCTCCAAGATTTATATTTGTCAGAAACATTGATCAAATAAATTATTTGAGCAATCTTAGTTTTATTATACGGTGGGTTTTATTTTATAGTTTATTATTTTGGTTTATTTGAAGCATGCATTTGATGTGGTGGCCTATGCGAATGGGATATGTTATTTGTTTTTGAGTCCTTGGTTTGATTTGGTTTGATTGAATTGGTTGATCTATTGACGTTTTCCTTGTTCAATCCTTTGCTCTTGGGCTTGGTTATTTTATTGGTTAATCATTGATTTATTGTTTATATGGAAAAGTGGATTTTATTTTGTATGGCTAATGTGATATGATGTATGCCATCCTTCGATATATTTTGTTATAGTTTTGTTTTGGATGGCTTATGTGATATCCTATATCCCATTCTTCGAGATATCGCTCTTCGAAATCCCATAACAATTTTATTTCGGATAGCTCGCGTGATATGCTGTCACACTTGTGTTTCTAAAGAACCATAGGTTGCAGAGGAAAATAAAAGCTGGAAGAAGAAAGTTGCTACTGGGAAACATTGTTTAAAATTGCGTAATATGAGGCTCGTCTTGAGGCCCACCTCAGCGCAATTCTAGTGACCCGAGGCTTACGCCTCTAGTTTTTTTATGAGGCTTGTGCCTCAGCTTGGCTGATGCCTGCCTTGATGCACACCTCGTCTCGCTAACGGGAGGCTTACTCCTCATCCTATTTATATATATATATATATATATATTTAAAACTAACATAAATCACGCCTTCATGCACATTTGAGCGCAACAACTTCATGTTGATTGCCTTTACCTCCATCCCGCGGCGAAGGCCACAGCTGTCACCATCGTAGTCGTCATCGACAATCACTTGAAATCTGCACACTAGCACCCTAAAATTTTTGGAGCATTAATCTCATATTTATGTTGATGAAAATATTTCTAAAAGATGAATATGATTGAAATAAATTAAAAAGAAGTATATTGGGAGGCATTCAACTCTATCGAATGAGATAGGGGATAGACCAATTTGTTATGGTGACAACTCAGATAAAGACCACCTTAGGGATGACAGTCCAGATGATTCCTAAATTGTTTCTAACTATTTCAGCTTTCATTAGGAATTAATAAATGTCAATGAGTAGAGAATTGAGAAAGAAGAGATTTGATATTGTTTTGCTCTTTTAATATTTGGATTTTAATTCTATTTCACACAATTTATCAGTTTTCACTTTATATATTGTGCAATTTTTTATTTCATATGTATGCCAATTTGTTAATTCATAATTCAATAAAAAGTTAATATGTCATAATTTAACATATTATTTAGGTATTATATAAAAAATCACTTTTGACATTTATTATCACTTTATGAAATTTTTTTATTTTGAGGTTTACGCCTCGCGTCATTAATAAAAAATGTCTCAATACCCCATTTTGCAATTTTAAACATTGCTGGGAAGAAGAGAAAGTAAAAGCCACCAATTCACATTTTCATTAAAGTTTATGGTATTGTATATGTGATGTCTTCTTACAGCTTGCTATTATATAGAGAATACAAGTTGTTTCTCTGTGTGAGTTCGCAGGAGTGGAGTGCTTTACACGTATAAGGTATTGATGGTTTGAGCTTTTAGAGATTAATGGTATTTGATTACTCTTGCTCTAAAGATGGCTGCTCCATTTTTGCTGCTCTGTTAGGTGCCGTTAAGACCCCCTCACAAACTAACGGATTTGGTTAAATAGTCAGTTTGAGGCGTAGATGCTGGAAGTGCGTTGTGGAGAGTGGTTTGATGAGGATGTTAGCTACCTGATCTTGAGAGCTGATGGGTAAAACACATTGTTTTTGGATGTAATGTGGTCGCTGATGAAATGGTGATCAATTTCGATATGTTTGGTTCTGGCGTGAAACACTGGGTTGTTAGCTAATGCTATGGTCGAGATGTTGTCACTATGTTTGTATGTGGGAGACAAGGTCTGAACCTGAAAGTCTTTGAGTAGTTGGCGAAGCCAGTTGACATTTGCGGTAGTTGCTGCGAGGGACTTGTGCTCGACTTCGGTGAAGGATCAGGAAGTCGTTTGTTGCTTTTTAACTTGCCAGGGTATCAAATTTGGGCCCATATAGGTGTAGTTGTGGAAAATGGAGCGATCTGCAACTCCGTCTGCATTGCAATAGGTCGTGAGATGGAGAGGTTCATCTGTGATATGTAAACCGAAATGAGTTCCATTGATGTACCAAAGTAAGAGCTTGAGAATTGGTGATGTTCCTGTTGTGGATTGTGCTTGTACTGGCTTAATTGATTTATAGAGAATATGTCTGGTATTGTAATGGTTAGGTATTATAGTGATCCAATTAAGTGGCGGTATAGGGAGGAGTCTATGTGAAATGTATTGATGGAGATTGGTGAATGTTTGGTTGGTGAAGGGTTGGAGAGAGCTTTGCATTGGGACATTCTTGCCTTGGCAGGGATGGATGTTGCATAAGTTGTTTGTGATAGGAATATGGTGGTGGATTTTGTTGTGATTTGTATGCCAAGGAAGTTTGAGGGGGACCTAAATTTTTGATTGAAAATTTGGTGCTTAATTTATGAAGTAGATGGTATGTGGCGTTGTTATTGTTACTTGTTATAAGTATGTGGTCCACGTAGATGAGAAGGTAGATTTGAACCTTGTTTTGATTGAAGATTAATAGGGAGGGGTTAGCTTTGCTTTGGTAAAATCCAGATGAGATCAGGTGGTTGGAAAATGTGGTGAAAATTGGCAGGGATATTGTTTGAGAACGTACATAGGTTTTTTGAGGAGACAAATATAATTTGGGAATTGGGTGTCATGAAAGCCGTGTGGTTGTTCCATGTAGATAATTTCTTGTAGAGATCCATGGAGTAATGCATTCGCAACATCAAGTTGCTGGATTGACCATTATTTATGGAGGGCTATTGTAAGCAGAATTCGAATGATTGGTAATTTGGCCATTGGGCTAAAGGTTTCAAGGTAGTCTAGGCCATATTCTTAACGGTTTCTTGAGCCACTAGCCTTGCTTTGTATCTAGCTATGGTGTCGTCAACACGGAGTTTGGTTTGGTATGTCCATCGATAACCCAAGATTATATGATTGTGAGGGGTAGGGACAAGTTGTCATGAGCTTTGTTGTTGTAAGGCTAGGAATTCTTCAGTCACGGCTTTTCGCTAGTGGCTATGTTTTTTTGGCTTCTGAATAGGATGTTGGATCTTTTGTTTGGGATGTTTGATGAAGGTGGTTTAGAATTTGTTTTGGTTTGAGTGATTCGTTTTGTGATCGAGTGGTCATGGGATGGCGATGTGGAATGAAGATGTGGGGATCTAGTATTGCATTTGATATATGTGAAGTTTCGGTTGTGTTGAGTGGAGGTAAGGTATTTGGGCTTGAAGAGGGGTTGGAGTCGGTTGGATTGGAAGGGGAAGGTAGTGATTCGGTGGACTGAATGTGGGATGTTGGAAGTAATAATGATGGTTGATGGGTTATGTTTGTGGATGTAAGTTGAGTGAGATTTATGAGGGAAGTGTATGGAAAATTGGATTCATCGAAACGAACATGTCTTGAGATTATGATTTTGCTTTTCGATGGATTGAGACATTTGTAGCCTTTGCATTTGTACTACAATGATTTGTAGGAGTGCCAATGAATATGCAAAGGGGAGCTCGTGGGGCTAATTTGTGTCTTTGTTGTGGGGGTAGCCATGGGTAGCATGTACACCTGAATGTTTTGAGATGAGAGTATGTGGGTTTTTGTTTGAATAGGGATTGAAGTGGTGATTTGTTGTGGGTTCTATTGAAGGGCATGCGGTTGATGAGATATGTGGATGTTAGAAGTGCTTCTGTCCAGAATTGAAATGGAAGATATGCTAAATGGAGGACGGTTCTTGTGATTTCAATTAAATGTCTATGCTTGCATTCAGCGAGGCCGTTTTGTTCTATGGTGTAGGGGCAGCTTATTTGCTGATGGATGCCGTGGGTCTTTAGGAAGTTTTGAAAGTTATGGTTTGTGTATTCAGTCCCTCCGTCTGTTCGAATGCACTTTATTTTGAATGGAAGTTGATTTTCTATTAAGGTTTTAAAATTGGTGAAGTGCATTAGAACTTCAATTTTAGAGTGCATTGGAAATATCCATGTGAATCTAGAATGACCATCCACAAAAATAGTATAATAGAGATAACCCTATACGGAGGGTACTGGTGAAGGACCACATACATCATAATGTATTAGTTCTAAGGGTTGATACACATGATTTTTGGAAGCAGTAAAAGGTAATTTGAGCTCTTAGAGGCTATAAATGAGGAACATAAAGATGAATAACTAAAATTTTTTAGTTGTTTGTTTTGTTTTGAAATGGCACTTGTAGTATGCTGATGTGGATGATCGAGTCAGTGATGCCATAGAAGATCAGATGATGTGAAAGCAACCATGGCCTTTGGGGCTGTGGATGACGAATGAATTAGATAGAGATCGTTATGACATGGTCCTTGGAGGAAAAGACGATTTTTATTCATATCCTTGAATTCAAAATCGGAAGGAGTGAATGCAATGGAGAGATTATTATCAGTGGTGAAGTTAGATGTTGAGAGTAGATTATGAGATAAAGAGGGGACATGTAGGACAGATGGTAAAAGAATCTTACGTGTAGGAGTTGTTAGGATCCCTCGACTTGAGTGTGATATTGGCTGAGAAGTGCCATGACCCACTATAATTCTATCTACATTGTTGTAAGGTTTTGGGGTCGAGAAGGTTGTCAATGTTGGGAGTAAGATGTGATGGTGCTCTGGAGTCGAGGTACCAATCTGTCGATTGTTATGGAGAGGCTATAAGCACTGTAGTATTTGATGGAGTATAGTTCGGGTTCATTCTATGCCAGCAAGCAGAGGCTAAATGACCATGCTTATTGCATATTTGGCAGGTTGTTGTAGATGCTAGTGGATGTTTGGTCGGTTGAGAGGTGTTGACGCGATTTGCATTCGTTTGGTGTCATCCTCTGCCGCGGAATACATGTTTTCTAGACTTGTAGAGAGCTTAATGAGGATCTAGTGGTGGGTTGTATCTGGCTGATTTAGTTGTTAGGTTGATTTCCTCATTGATTAATAGTGAGTAAAGGTCTTCTAGGATGATGGGGGTGAGTTTAGTTCTAATGGAGGTTTTGAAAGCTTGATATTGTGGAGGTAAGCCATTTAGGGCATAGTGGATAATGTTTTTAGGGTCTATGGATGAGTTGGCAGCAGAGATGTTGTCTATCAATGTTTTGATGTCTGTGAGGTATTGAGATATTGATGGGGTATCCATCGAGATATTGTGCAATTGGTTTTTGAGCTATATCACTCGAGATCTGTGGGATGCTTACAATCGATGTTCTATTGTGAGCCATATTTCACAGTTGGAGTCGAGATGGATAACGTAGGGTAGGATGGCAGGTGTGATGGTTGAGCAGAGGGCAGCGGCGAGGTTCTGGTTTATGAGTAATCATTGATTGTATGCGGGATTGCTTTCAAATAGGCTGGTTTCGCCAATGTGTAAATGGGCAGGGGGAGATAACGTACCGCCCATGTATTGGAGAAAGCCATTTGCACAAAATAGTTGAGTATTTGAGACTGTTATGTGGCGTAGTTGTCGTTGGAGAGTTGAGTTGGAATTATATGTTTGTAATTTGAAATGACAATTTTGAGTGAAGTTGTATGCACTGTTCGAGTTTTGGGTTTTCTGTCTCTAGGTTGCTTGTTTGAGATGTTTTGGAGTGGGCCATTGCTGCCGCTGGTTGCCGTTAGGCGTGAGCTGTCTCCGATACCATAAAGAACCACAGGTTGCAGACGAAAATAAAAGCTGGAAGAATAGTTTCTACTGGGAAGTAGAGAAAGTAAATGCCAGCAATTCACATTTTCATTAAAGCTTGTAGTACTGTATATGCGATGTCTTCTTATCGCTTGCTATAATTTAGAGAATAAAAGCTGTTTCTCTGTGTGAGTTTGTAGGAGTGGAGTGCTTTACACGTGTAAGGTGTTGATGGTTTGAGCTTTCAGAGATTAATGTTATTTGATTACTCTTGCTCTGAAGATGGCTCCTCCATTTCTGCTGCTCTGTCAGGTGCCGTTAAGAGTTTCCTTCTGCGATTCTTTTATAACTCAGGTGCCATTTTGACATTAATCAAGAACTTTTTTGTTGCAATGAATATTACTAGTATTTAAAATGGGGAAGTGGATTGAATTGGGTTGGATTTCGTTGATTATTTTGGAAAAATTAAGTAGATTTGCCAAGCTAGAGATACGATGTTCATATAATAGAAAATCTTAGGCATGTCGAGGAAATTAACTCTTTGCTTATTTCCCCACCCCACCCCTACTTTTTTTATTTTTAGAGAAAGTTTGTTCCGAATTTGTTGAGAAATTCTCCTCTCTCATTGTTAGTTTATTCTTTGAGAATAAGATTTTGATCTATTTTGTTACTCCTCTCTTTTTGTACTCCATATATTTGATGACTAAATTATTTGTGCCTAGTCTTCCTGGACATGTTATCGTTGATTGATTCACCTAAATTTTGGTTTGTCTCTATATTATTTTAGCTTATATTCAAAAACCTGAAAATCATTCTAGGTCTACGAGATCTTGTGGATTTTCTCCCGGCTTCACTTGCTGTAATCATCAGTTATTTCTCCGCTGAAATTACACGAGGCATTTGGAAACCTGTTGCTATGAATGGAATTGATTGGCCGAGTCCTGCTGCAAATCTTCTATCAGTTCAATTAGAGATGAAGGAAATCCTTGCTTCTGCTGGAGTCACCCTTCCAAATGTTTATGCGTGTGAGTTTTTCAAACAAATATAAATTTCATTTTTCCTTATCTATCAATCTGTCGGTAATGAACCATTTTAATATAGTACAAATGCTTTTAGCAAATATTGACCGTTGTCTTTTCCTTTTCTACTTTCAGGTGGCCCTGTACCGATGCTTCCTTTACCAATGGCAGCACTCGTAAGCCTAACCATAACATTTAAGCTGGACAAAAACATGGAGTACGCTCATGCCGTAATCGGTCAGGCACTTGAGAACTGCTCCGCCGGGAGCCCATGGCCAAGCATGCCCATAATTGGAGCTCTTTGGACGCAGAAGGTTCGTCGTTGGCATGACTTCATTGTCCTCTCCAGCTCTCTCTCCCCCTTCACCTGCGACAAGGAAACTATTGCCCAGCTAATCAGATGCTGTTTCTCCTCCTTTCTTAGTGGCTCCAATTACCACGGTGTGAGTAGCCTCCTCGGCCACTCAATCTCTACTGGCAAGAATTTTCCCTTCACAATCGGTCCAGGCTACCTCTACGTCCGCTCATGCCGGTCCTTCCACGACACCCACTTCGTTAATAACATGATCCTCAATCTTGTCGTGGAATGGACCCATGAGCTTGCGGTCGGACGAGCATGTAACAGCTCGACCGCCGCCCGGCTATTGTCGAGCCGATCATCGCTTGCTTCAGCAGCTTCTGCTGTCAGAAAGGCAGCCACCTTAGGTGCAACCCTGCTGTGCATTGCTGGAGGGCCTCTACTCTTACAGGTTTTATATGAGGAGACTTTGCCTGCAATGCTGTTATCGACCGGGGACTCCGGTGGCGGCGCAACTGGTCCTGCCACAGCAGCTGCAAGGTTGTTGGAGGGTTATGCAATGGCTTACATGCTAGTTCTGTCAGGTTCATTCATCTGGGGCACCGGCAAAACTTCTCCGGCGTACACATCTTTGTTCACAACGAGGCGTGCGAGGTCGGTGGGGATGCATTTGGAGTTTGTCGCCGGCGGGGTGGAGGGGAAAATATCAGTAGGGCGTGACCCGGTTACATGGAGAGCCTATGTGACGTCTCTTGTGGGGCTGTTGGTGAGGTATGTGCCGGCATGGATTTTGGAAGTAAGGCAGCAAACGCTTAGGAAGCTGGCCGGTGGGCTGAGGGCCTGGGGAGAGAGTGAGCTTGCTGTGGCGATTCTGCAGCGAGGGGGGACTGAATCTTTGGGCCTGTTGGTTGAATTTTTGATGTAATGGGAGGCTGGAGTGCTAGATTATTAGATTTATGAAGGTTTTGATAGGCTGTTGTACAGAAAGAGTTTTGTTTTAGTTGGAGGTTTTGGGTAGTGTTACTGTTAGGCAAGTTATTTGGAACATTTAGGTCAATTAAGATAAATTAACATATACAAGATTCAAACTGAAGACTTCTTGATTAGTAGTAAAAGTTCCCAATTAATAAAGATGATCTGTGTTAAGGCAAGCTATTTGGCTGACATTTGTTTTTTGGAACGGGGGTATCTACTTGCTGCTACTCCAAAGGAGCGCTTGGCGGCGTAATTAATTCATCGGCAGAACCTAGCGAGGTCACCCAGTGGTATCAGGCCCACATTTGCTTTGACCTACGGAAGAGGAGAGATTGTAGGAGATGGGATTCGAATCGAGGATAACATTTTTGCATGAGGTAAAACTCTTTCAAGTGAAGAACTTAAGTAATAAATTTTAAATGAAATTTTGATAAAATTATGATTAATAATTTTAATTTTATTAGAATTTATTTTTTTTTTTTTGAAATTTAAATATTACTTGGATATCTTTTGTTCATATGTGAAGCATGCATGTTGTAATATTTTATGATTACAAAGTCATTGCATTAATAATTATTATTTAATGTTAATAAAAGGTGTGAATATGTAGGGTATAATTAAATCAAGATTGCAGTATAACCTAATCAAGATGATTTGAGTCAGCATGGGCTTGGTTTAATGAATGGTTTGTGAGTTTATGGTTAATGAGCTAATAAGTTGAGCTTTAGAGTTTGTTCTGGCTTGATTTATTTGCTTGTGAAATTATTTGCTTAAAAATATTAATATAAATCACCATTAAGATATATTAGCTTTTATAATTTAAAAAAAATTATTTAAAATTAACTTATTTTATTATATGAAATAATTAATTAATATTATTATTCTAGTTATTAATTGTTTTAATCATCTTATTTTATTAATTATTTAAATTAAAATAATATTCTTCTCTTTCATAAGCATAAGAAATAAGTTGGATGCAAATTTTGGAGTTTTGATGGTTTCAATCGAATAATGTCTCAAAAGTCATAAAAATTATACAGTTAAAATCCCAGCGCTCGTTCTCCTATTCTCTCTCACTTTCTCTGTCTCTTTCTCTCGTAACCACCATTCCTCCTCTTCGCCAGCTTTCCAAATTCTCCCACCCTTCAATTCCCTCTCTCTTCTCCATCAACCCCCTCACCTGTACCAGCTCAGAATCACGAATTGCACGCTCGCTAATCCGGCCATCGAAGAACAAGGTCGGAGGGGTTTGCGACGGCGGAAATGGCGTCGGGCAATTCCTCCGGTATTCAATACCTGGTGGACTCCAGGCGCAACTCTTCCATTCTCTCTCCAGTCGTCTGCTTCAACCCAAAGAGCACCTCCAACGGCGGCATATGGCAAGGCGAGAATCTCATCGAATACTCCTTCAACCGCTTCATCATCCAGCTCCTCCTCATCGTCATCATCACACGCCTCGTCGCCCTCCTCCTCCGTCCCCTTCACCAACCCCGCTACCTCGCCAACATCATCGTATTCTCTCTCCTCCTCTCATAGGATTAGGGTTTGCTTCTCATTTTCTGCGACATCGAATTGTCTAACAGTGTTGTTCGATTGAATGCAATTTTTTTTTAATTATATATTATTAAAATCCCTTCAAATGCATATTTTTTATATAAAAAAAGAGTAAAGATATTATTATTCTTTAAAATATTTTTTTTCTATAATTTCAACGAAATGAATAAAAAGTAAGTATTTATACTTTCTCTTGATTGAAAATACTATCATATTTTAAAAATATGCACATAAAAATGTATATTTTATTTAAAAAAATTAAAAATACTATTATTTTATTTAATTTATAATTTTAAATGCTATAAAAGTTAGAATATTAGAATTTATTCTTACTAAAATGTGATTGGCAAGGGCGGGATCATGGTGGGCCCCACATGCCTTGGTCGCATCCCGTGGGTCGCCAGAAAGCTATTCCCTCTGCCGAGCGTGATCGTCCTGGAGAACACGGCCTACCTAGGCCTGATCTACTTCACCTTCATCACCGGAGTCGAGATCGACCTCATTGCCGTCCGACGCACTGGCCAGTCCGTCTCCTTAGCCCTCGCCTGCACCATCGTCCCCTTCGGCATAGGTGCCGTCGCCGCAGCCGCCCTCCAATCCACGCTCAACAGCGACGTTCAAGCCAACCTGGCGTCATTCGTCGTCTTCCTCGGCGTCGCCCTCTCCGTCTCCTCATTCTCCGTCCTCGTACGCACCCTCGCCGAACTTAAACTCCTCAACTCCACTGTCGGCACCACGTCCCTCTCCGCCTCCATTCTCGTCGATAGCTTTGTCTGGGTTCTCCTCGCCCTCGCCGTAACCCTAGCCCAGAACAACGGCGAGCCGTTCGTTACTCTCTGGACTATGATGTCAGGCATCGGTTTCTACGGCGCGGCCCGCTTCTTGGTCCGCCCAGCGGCCAATTGGATCTCGTCTCGAACTCCGGAGGGCGGCGTCGTCAACGATTTCAGCGCCGGCGCGATGCTTGTTGGAGTCATGGTGGCTGCGCTCATTGCCGATGCGATTGGGATTCATGCTGTTCTCGGGGCCTTCGTGTACGGGTTTGTGATCCCAAGTGATAGTCCTGTAGGCACGGCTCTGATTGAGAGGCTTGAAGATTTTGTTGAGGGTTTGCTTCTGCCTCTGTTTTTCGGGATTAGTGGGATCAAAACTAACCTTGGTGCTGTTAACGACATTGTCGCGGCTGTGTTTTTGATTCTGATTGTGGTCGCCTCTGCTGTTTTGAAGATTGTTGGGTGCTTAGTGGTTTCCAATATCTACCAAATTCCACTTCGTGATGGAATGGCCATTGGACTCCTGATGAACACCAAGGGCGTCATCGAGCTGGTCTTGCTCAACATTGGCCGCGGTCAGCAGGTAAGAAACAGAACTGATCTGATCATGATTGTGTAAAAATGGCGGATTACATACATGATACATACCATATTATTCATTTATATTTACATATTTAATAACTATTTTCTTATATTTAACGTTTTATCGCCTTGATCACATCAAATATTTGCATAAAAATTTAAGTTTAATTATTTTTGTAGTGATTTAAAGGCTAAGATACTATACAATTAAATCTAAAAATTTAGATATTATGTATATAAATTTTTTCTGAAACTCAATCATAAATTTCTCATATAATTTTGTTTTAGAGAAAAGTTTTAGGGAAAAGCTGAGTAGAATGTTCGATCACGCATGCTACTTAGCTTCTTTGGTGTGTTATGACTTTATTTTAATGCTTACGACTTACTAATTTTGGTTCATAATTTTGCTATGTGTTGATTAACTCTACAATGGCGACATTAGTGTAACTTTTATTTTAATAATTGAATAACGTAAAAAAAATGTAAATAAAGAAATAAACTTTGTTAGCATATATATGATTTTTTTTTTTGAAAAAAAATTAGAGAAAATTATGTATTAGCATTTTGATTCTTGCAACCTTTATTCATTTGTTGAATTTATCAAAAATTTGTTATTAATGTTGAATGTTCCACGTTAAACAAATCATCATATATCTTCTATCTTCCAATATATTTAAACTTAATCAATTAGAAAGTTGTCAAAATGCATTGGGCTCATCCTCTAAACTCCTATTTATAGATTTAGGTTGTTGCTAAGTGGTATAAAAATGTCTAAATTTATGTAGTAACAATTCTTAACAAGTGCTTGCTATAAAATGAATTAGTTAATTTATAGCTATTTAGGTACAAGAGATTTGTTGTTGATTTTCAAATGGAGAACATTATGTTTGATAATTAAGCTTTTTTTGGATAAAATCTCTAATGACTTTAGTCTAAGCTAGCTAATGGTTTTAGACACCTTGTTGACTTCAATAATGTAGTTCTAAGAAGTTGGCCTCTTTTTTATGGCAGCTTCAATACATGAGGGGCTGAAGAAAGATCGAGTTTTGATGAGTTGACCTCTTATGTCACTCACTCAATATATTAGGGCTTAAGTTGAATGATGAGTTTTGGCGAGTTAAACTCTTATTTAGGCAACTTCATTATACCATGAACTTAAAGATTGATTGACTTTTAAAGAGTTTATCTCTTCTCTAGACAATTTATTTTTAGTAGAATGATCTAGTACATGTGGTAGGTAGCTGCATTGGTGAATTATGGCTTAATTCAAGGCACTTGACTTATTGAGCTTGTTTCATGATAATTATAAGACTTACTATGTCAAATGGGATGATATTGGATGTATAATTTTATTTTCTAATTAAATAAGGTTAAAATAAATTTTATTTAATTTAAGAAATATACTTTGCTATGATAAAGTTCCAAAAGAAGTGCTATATATGGACAATTCTAGAAAAAAAAGGGTTTATAATCCTTGTATTCAAGTCACTAAGGATATGTATGGATGAGTTACTTGTATTCAATGTTTGGAATTTCCTTTATGAGATTATGAAGTTGTTTGGTTTTGATTCAAATTTTATCCACCTCATTAAGCTTTGCATAGCAATCCCCTATTTTTCTATCACTGTTATCGGTAAAGCCAATGGTTTTTTTTAAGGCTTCTCACGGATTGAGATTGGGTGATCCTATTTCTCCGGCCCTCTTTATTATTGCGGCTGGGTATCTTTCTAGAGTTATTGCTGATCTTTTTGAGAAGTATCCTAGCCTTTAATTTAGAACTTTATATGGATTTCATATATCTCACTTATGTTTTATTGATGATTTTATTATTTTTATGAAGGTGGTTTGACCAACTATTTTCCCATTTCTGTTGGATTACACCAAGGATCAGCCTTACACCCATATAATTTTTTTTTAGTCATGAATGTTCTCACTAGACATTTGCAGGATGTTGTACCATGGTGTATTATTTTGCTGATGATATTCTTCTTGTTAATTAGACTATAGAAGGAGTTGAAGGTAAACTTAAATTATGGAGGTCAATCTTAGAGTATCAAGATTTTTGTTTGAGTAGATCTAAAATCGAATATATGAAGTGTAATTTTAATAGTAATAGGCCTAGTGGGTGGATTGTGATTTTGGACAATCAAGTCATTAATAAGAGTTCATTCTTTAGATATCTTAGATCTATTATTCAAAGTGATGGTTAAATATATCAGGATATTGTTAGTAAAGTTTAAGTTGGATAGTTGAAGTAGAGGAATGCATCGGACTTGTTGTGTGATAGAGAAGTCCCCTCAAACTTTAAGTGAAAATTTTATAAGATGGTGATGAGAGGTGCAATGCTTTATGATGCAGAATGCTGGCCATTAAAAGAGAAGCATATTATTAAGTTGTGTTGAAGAGATGAGGAGCCTTAGGTGGATGAGCGGCTTTACAAATGAGCATATACATGAAGAGATTGGAGTAGCTCCAATGTAAGATAAGTTTAGAGAGAGTCGTCTTAGATGGTTTGGTCATATAAAATGACAACCTTCTGATGACCTGATTAGGAAAATATATGTGTTTTATTTGGCTTATGTTAAGAATAGTATAGGTAGATCTAAAAAGTTTTGATTAGAAAATATTAAAAATAATCTTTCTTTATTAGATTTAAATGAGAATTTGGCTATTAACATAATATAATAGGAAAAATATTTGATGTTGTTGTTATTTTTATAAGAAATATACTTTGCTAACATATGTCTATGAATTTTCTTTGAAAACAATTTGAGTAAATAACTCAGTGGCATCATGATTCATGCAAACTTTATTCATTTGCTAAATCAATCAAGTATCTTCAACTAATGTTTGAAGGTTCCAAGTTAAATAGAATACCATATTTATTCTATATTCTAGCATATTTAATTATTTTTTTTGTAAGTAATTGAGTTTATGCGAATGATTTGCTCAATTGCTTTGAACAAGTTTTATCAGCGATCAAATATAAAGAATGTTATTATAGCTTAATTTGGTGTTTATCTTGTTGAATTGATCTATGAAAACTTGCAGAGAGATAAATTTTTTTTTTCTGCTGAGCAGCTACTTAGCGAGGCTTCATTCTCTGTTCTGGTGTGCACATCGGCAATCGTAACAGCATTTGTGAGCCCTCTCCTATCCGTAACTTTCCGCTCCCCTCGTCGCCTAGCCTCTTTCAAGCGTCGCTCCGTTCAGTCCGGTCGGCCGGAATCTGAACTCCGCATCGTATTCTGCGTCCACGCCACCCGCCACGTCCCTGCCATGCTCGGTCTTCTCGACGCTGTCAACCCCATCAAACGCCAACCCGTCTCAGTCATCGCCCTCCACCTCATCGAACTCTCCTCCCGACCCTCCTCCATGCTTATCATCCACTCCACCACCACCACCACCACTAAGGACGGCGTCGGCCGTAATGGTGGCCAACCTTCCTCCTCCGCTGCCGCCGCCGCCACGGCCGCAATCGCCCGCGCTTTTAGGTCTTACGAGGAACAATCCGCCGGCGTTTTCGTCCGAACCCTCACCGCAGTCTCCCCTTACCCCACCATGCAACAGGACATCTCCGCTATCGCCGAAGACTTCCGCGCCGCTCTTATCATCATCCCCTTTCACAAACACCGCACGGTCGACGGCGGCATGGAGACAACTAACCCTTCACTTCGCTCCCTCAACCAATCCGTCCTCGCCGCCGCCCCCTGCTCCGTCGCCATCCTCATTGACCGCGGCCTTCCCGCTCCTTCCCGCCATGGCGTAACCCGAAAGGCCGCCCTCTTCTTCCTCGGTGGCCCCGACGACCGCGAAGCTCTCGCCTTTGCCTCCCGCATCGCTGGCCACAGCCAATTCTCCCTCACCGTTCTCCGCCTCATCAACCAAATCCGCTCCGACGAATCCGTCCTCGACGATGAGTACATCACCGAGTTCCGCATCCAGTACGTCGGCGACAACTCCGTTGCCTACACCGAGATCGAGGCGGAGTCCGCAGAGGACACTGTTGCGGCACTGAGATCCCTTGTGGACGGACGGCATGATTTGTATATTGTTGGAAAGGAATGTGGAGTTGGATCGCCTTTAACCGCTGGGCTGACGGACTGGAGCGAGTGCCCGGAGCTAGGGCCCATTGGGGACCTGCTTGCTTCGCCGGACTTCGGCGTGCCGGTGACTTCGGTGTTGGTGATGCAGCAGTGTTTGCAGATGGAAACAGGGGAATCAGAAGCGGCGCCGGGTAAGACGACGATGGGCTCGTCGAGGGGCAGGCTTGCGATGATGTCGGCTGAGAAGGCGACGTACAGGACCGGAAGCATGGCCTCCCGAACAACCTGAGAAGAACAGCAAAAGCAGGATCTTTGGTAAATTTATACTGTACAGGAACGAAGAATTTTTTTTTGGGGGGAAAGGAAAGAAGAAATTTTATTAGGATTTTTTATTTTTAATCAATTAAAGTCAAACTAAAGCTCCATATCAAAATGAGCTGTGTGTATTAGGATATTGTTAAATTCAATAAGCTTCAAACCATGAAGTCTTTACTAGTTTTAAATTTTAGGTCTTGAATGAACATTTTATTATGTAATATTTCAATTTTATTTTATTTTTTTATTCATATTAATTTACATTAGAAATTTTGGGATGAGAAATTGGCTATTTTATCTAAGGGAATTTAATGTTGTTACTGTCTAAATATTTAATTTTAGAGGGGAATATATATATATAAATTTTAGGTGTTAGATATATAAATAGGATGTTATAAAATGGTATGTATGTAAATTTCCCTTAAAGTTATCGTATAAGCTTCGTTCCATTGTGCAGGTTTTGTAAGCTCAAAGAAAGCCCAAAAGAAACAACTATAAAGCCCAGAATGCACTGATTTTGGATCTTCAAAGCCCAAAATTATTAAATCCAAGCGAGTCATTGGGCCGAACTGATGTAATGAAAGTATTTTTCCTAGTTCACAATAAAAAGAGAACAGTTGTGTTAGAGGAAAAAAAACTAGTATGGATGATTTGCTCAATCTAATCAAACTAGAGTTCACATATGATTGGAATTGGAGCATGGAGCTTATTTTACAAAAAGACCCAAAATGAGCATCTCAAAAGCTAAGAATAGGCTGATTGCGTGCTCGTTTGGTTCCCCGTTTCTCCTCCGTTTTTCGTTTTGAAACGGAAAACTCAGTTGACGGAACATGTTTGAATGTGAGGCATACTTTTTCAAAAACTCCATTTCTCTAATGTTTTAAGAAGTGTTATGTATTAGCTTCTCCGTTTAAAAAACTCCATTTCTCAAATTGATGTTTTTGAAACCGCAATGGCAAATAAACCAAACGTAACCTACATGTGAGCTGGTCAAGATTGATTATGTTGAATATAGCTAAGATAAATTATAGCATGGGATGCCCTAAAATGTGACTAATTGTTTGCAACTATTTGGGTATCTTTTAGTATATGTATTAATTTCTTGTTGACTAAGATACTTTAAATGTAAAAAAATGTGATATTTTTGCTTGATAGCCATCCAAAATAAGGATAATAGATATCAAGATGCATATAGTAGATATCAACAATCATTGATCAAGCGTAAAAACGAATTAGGATTAGGATTTAGCTAAAGGTTGAGAAAATGCTAAAGTTTTCATCACAAATGAAGGAACATTTTTTTTCTTAAGGTAATGTATTCGACTTCAAAAAGATAGGAGCTATATGTTAGCGATTGATGGATAGGATTTTCATAACCCAAATAGATCAAAATAGCATTCTGGCCACATTACTAACCACATAAAAATATTTACTTCACTAAATATGCACATAATGAAGCTTAATCCGATCCTACTAATTGTTTACTTAATGCTTGGCCAGTGAAGTTTTTGAGCTATTTGATGTCAATAGATAGAATCATAGCGAACCCTAATAAAATTAAAGACATTATAGGGGCAAATTTATTAGAACTCAACCAAGACTAGATTGATTTGATTTATCTTTCGGAGTGGGGAGAGGAATGTTCAAATATTCAACACTATTTGCAAGTCAAAGTACTTAGTCTCGAATGATTACGATGATAACTATTATCAAAACAAAAGACATACCTTAAAACTACTCTAATTGTTAGTTGCCTGAGGTCGGGAAAGGATATACTCTTGTACTTAGAAAGAAATTTTATTACATTTATTTTAATCTTGGTACGAGAAGGCGGCAAAAACTAATTCTTACTATGCAGTTCTTGTAAGATCATCAATGGAGCTAAGTAGGGGTGGAACTAGCTTTATGTTTGAGGGTAGGCAAAGCTGGTGGCAGGCATCAAGAAAGCACTGGTGGCGGGGACTTTTAGTAGGTCGCAGGGGCTTAGCACCAGTCTGACAAATATGAATAAGATAGGAGAAATAGTGCACATGATAAATAACGAGTGATTGGGCTTGCATGAATTGGATCGAGACTGGATGGGAGCAAAACTCATTAAGAGAGGGCAAACTAATTTTTTACAGGGGCAAATTATTTTTAAAATTGCCATCCCTTATAAGCAAAACTCAATTTTTAGTGTCGGCAATCGAACTTAGAAGTCCATAGGGCTTAATATTATTATGTTCCATTTAAATTGCACCCTCTACAATCATTGCTGGGGTTCTATTTTCATTGTTGGCATTCATACAGGAAGTCTTAGTTCCATCAAAGATCTTATTTTCCAGCAGCAAGAACCAGATTAAGAGAGTTTCAGAATGTATTATAAATAATTAGTTGTTGTAAAAAAATAATTTAGAATTGTTCAAAGAGATCAGAGTTGTAAAAAAAAAAAAAGAGTTTTTTTTTCCTTAACTTAATCATTGGAAGATCAAGAAAATAGCTTATAAGCATAGCAGGAAAGTTTCTTTATCTGAACCATTGAGAAAGTAGTCTAATTTTGACGCTTAATTGATTATTAACCGAATAATGCAGTGTACAACAACTAGAAGATCAAGCCTTTATCCCGCTATATGGGGTCAGCTACATAAATCATTTTTCTTCATTATGTCCTATTAAGTCTCAAACGCTCATTTAAATGTAATAAAAAAAAGGTCATCTCTAATATTTTCTAACCAAGTCTTTTTCGATCTATCACTACTTTTTTCTTGATATAAGTCAAATCTAATATATCTACTCTCTTAATCGGACTATTAGAAGGCTGACGTCTTATCTGACTAAATCATATAAGGCGACTCTCTCTAATCTTATCTGCCACTGGAGCTACTCCAACCTTTTCACGTATATACCTGTTTCACATTCTGTTTACAAAATTTTAACAAGCCATTAAATACACTTAGGCAATGTTTGAGCTAGCTTTTTTATTGCTCCATTTTTTAGACCGCAACTATAGTTTTTTTTTCACTATTTTTTTTTTTTTGGTTTTTAAAAAGGTTTTTTTTTTTTACTAAAAACTTGCTTTCTACAACGACTTTAAAAATTTACTTTTTCTAAAGCAACTTAAAGGAGTAAGAAAACCGTCTCAAACTAAATCTTAAACTTGCTCAATCTTAGCTCCATTTAGCATGAATTCTCTTAAAATTTTCTACAATAAAGAATAATTTTAAATTTTATTTTCCATGTTTCTATTCTCTTTGGCTTATTATCAAAATAAAGATGAAATAGAAATAAGCTTTACTAATGCTTGAGAATTGCATATGTCATATTCTTCAACTAAGGCTTCATTTGGGACATTGTTTTTATTTTTTTTAACTTTTAGGGTTTGGAAACAGCTCATCTTGGCCTACTGGTTGAGAGCTTATGCTTCCAACTAAGAGGTCTTGGGTTCGAGTCTTTGTGTATGCGTTGTGTGTGTGAGTTTGCTTTAAATGTCCTAAAAAAAAAAAAAACTTTTAGGGTTTGGGACCTCACAACGACAATATTAAAATGAGTTAACGAGTCAAACTCGAGTCATTCGTGTTTCTAGTGGCAAGTTTGGGTTGATATTTTTTATCCATTTATTAAACATGTTGGGTTTGGATTGACTCGATTCGAGTTTGGTCGATTTAAGGGGGAATTCAACCCACCAACCTATTTTGACACCACTAACTTGCTACATGAGGGATAGCCTTTGCTTGAGGTTCAAAAGAGCTTAGAAAAAGATTTTTGTAGCTTCACCAGACCACTACACGATCGATGATCATTAGACCATTGCAAGATGGACGACTGTTGTCAGAACACTACAAGATCAATGGCCATCAGACCATGCACCACCTAACCATCGTTCGACCATATCTTTGAATCACTACGCAATTGTCGCTATCATATTGATACCCACCATCATCATCTAAAAATTATTTGTCCACCGTTTAACCACTATGATTCACCATAATTGTTGATATCATCAAACTATAGTCATTAGACCACCATCACTATCAAACCCTAGCCGCTCAACAATTGACATCAGATTGTTATTGCTCAACCTTCATTGTCGAGCCGCCATCACCCAAAAGCCACAGTTGCAACGCGATCATTCAACCACAAATGATCGGGCGCTTTGCACTCCTCACAACCCCAACAAAAGTTTCACTACTCTAGCAAGAGGACAAGCCAACAACACACTCTTGTAAATCACAACTTCTCCAATTTAGGGAATGAGCAAATTGAAATAAACTCTTATTTCAATTAAATCAAATCCCATGAATTTTCTTTTTCCTATATTTTTAATGTAAAAAATTTTAATATCTCCTATATTCTCATATTTTACATTTGTATGCAAAATTTTCATAAAACTCTAAAATATTTTATTCTTTCTACAAAAGCCTCTTATTCATAAAAAGTAAATATGATTGAAACTTATTTGAAACAAAACAGTATATTGTTCAATTCACTTAGAAAAATTTGAAATTATTCTTTGTACTTAAAAAAAATAGTAATTGATAAAACAACAAAGCCCTACATGGAGTCCTGATTGGGTACCCATGATTTGCTCGGACGGGCTTCACCCACCCACACCCACCCATGGTGACTTTTGGGATGCCATACCCACCTATACTCACCCACTTTCCATGCTCTTTTATTGCAGTTTGCCACAGATTGATGACCTTGAGGCTTCTTTCACTTTTGCTATGATTGTAAACATTTAAGAAGCATATCAGAATTTATTGTAGTCACAGCGTGGTTAAGTGTTGCACATTACGTAATGATGATTGCACTAATATAAGATATACGATGATTAGAAATGCAAATTGATTTATCCCCTTATGTTGAGTACCCACCCATACCCACCCATAAGACAACCCCAACAAAAGTTTTCACTACTAAAGCAAGAGGACAAGCTAACAACACATACTATTGTAAATCCCGACTTCTCCAATTTAGGGATTGAGCATATTGAAATAAACTCTTATTTCAATTAAATCAAATCCCATGATTTTTCTTTTTCCTATATTTTTTATGTAGAAATTTTAATATCTCCTATATTCTCATATTTTATATTTGCGTATGCAAATTTTTCATAAAAAACTAAAATATTTAACACCTTATGTGGGAAATTAACATACATACCACTTTATTTTATGTTATTTATTTATATATCTAACACCCAAAATATTAATATTATATGCCTACCACCCATATACAACTTCAATATCAAATATATCACTCCTATAATTCATTTATATCATTCATACAATCCTATAAACTTTAATATTTCATTCCATGCACTCAAATTTGTTCTATGGGTGACAGTCATGTAATATTAATGTTTTGACTGTTAAATATGTAAATAACATAAAATAAAGTGGTATGTATATAAAACCCCCTTTATTCTTTCTACAAAAGCCTCTTATTCATAAAAAGTAAATATTATTGAACTTATTTGAAACAAAACAGTATATGGTTCAATTCACTTAGAAAATCTTGAAATTATTCTTTGTACTTCGAACAAACTGTAATTAATAAAACAACCAAAGAGATTTTTATTTAATATAAAATTATATTATAATATTAGTATCATATCATATAAATAAATTAGCTTAAAGTAAACCTCAGCTTTGTTTCAAACTTGCAACAACAACAATATCAAGTCTTTATCCTACTATGTGGGGTCAACTACATGTTAAAAGTAAAATTTTCATTTAAATCTAATAAAGAAAGATCATTTCTGATATTCTGAACAAAATCTTTTTAGGTCTATCTCTACCTTTCTTAACATAAGTTGAATATAATACCTCTGCTTTTCTAATCAGGTCATCAGAAAGCCGCCGTTTTATGTGACCAAACCTTCTAAGACGACTCTATCTAATTTTATCTTCCAATCGAGCTACTCCAACTTTTTCACGTAAAAAGCTTAAAAAAACCTTAAGAAACTCAGACCAAAAATAGATTCTAACGATGAGCACAGTTGCATGAAAGTTCTCTTTCTATAGTAAAACCTGAAATAAGACTTCAAAGACCACTTCAGTCAAACCAAACCACTAGTTCTAATGAAAATAGTATTATATTTTATAAATTATTTTTTAATTCTAATTCACAAACAAGATATATGGCATATAAGATTGCCTAATTTATCATAAAAGAGCTTCATTTGTTATATCTCTTCTTTAAATTTTGATTAGTTACAGTAAGAGCAGTTCTTCCACTTCCTGATTTCTTATGACTCCTTTCTTCTAAGTATTTTATGGATTTCAATTCCTACAGAGGAAATACAAACATAAAAAGAGACTAAAGGTTAAATAAACGAGTAAGAAGGAAGAGAGGAGAGAAGCTGTTCTACGTTAGTTCTTCTGCAACTCTGATCTTATCCATTCTTAGCCTCAGGCCCTCAGCTTAAATCTTTCTCTCTCTCTCTCTCTCTGTCTTGTTTCTTCTTCTGTGTGGATTTCTGTACTCACTATTCAGCTGTACTGATCTACTTCTAATGGCATTCACAGCCGTATGATTCATTGGAGAAGCCTCTGATTGATTGATCAATGTCTTCGTCACTGATATTTTTAGTTTTTCTTATCCTTTTCCACCATCTTTATCTTCCATTTCTCCTTCCTCCATCATTCTCTGTTATGGCTTTTTCACTCCAAAGTAAAATGCTATAAAAATTAAAACTTTGAAAAGAAATAAAGGAAACAGCTTGCTAACTATTCTCTTTTCCTAGATGTGCCAGTTTTTTTCCCTGCGAGTAAAATAAGAAGAACCAGATATCAGAAGCAATGGCCTGGAAGAATTTGCGATTAAATTCTGATTTGAAACTTAGTGGAAAGCTCCTCACTTTGATTGGGAGAAGAACTAGCTTCCATGCGTTAGAGGCCAACTGCTCCAGGGCCGGAGGAGAGCCTGAAAGCAAGAAATCCTCTAAAGATGAGATTTTTAAACTTTTGAAAAGAACATATTTTTACAGGATTAATTAAACCTAAATACAGTCACAACCTCGGCATCTGGAAAAAACAAGATTTGAAAGAAGCCATGCTCTCCAAAGTAGAAGTTGCAGGCAGTAAAGTGGAGGCAAACAGAGAAGACGAGGAAGCAGAAGAGGAAGCAGAAGAGGAAGCAGTCGCACCACCGGCGTCTGCTTCTGAGACCAAAGAAGAGTAGTCGCCGGCGGCGGCGGCGGCGGCCAAGGCCAACTTTGTCGGCGATGCGAATGGATTGTCAGGGAGATTATGCTCCGCTCTGTTAAATAACTCATTAGCCTTCTCGAAAAAGAAAAAAAAATAAAATAAAAGCTGAAACTTTTGAGCATTAGTGCAGCAGAATTTGGATTCAAACAATTAATGAATTAATGTAACAAAAAAATAACCTTTCTTGGAAATCTCCATCTTCTTTGGGACTCGCCTCCTCTTTGTCTGCACGAGCAGCAACAACCCCAAGCACCGAGCTTTTATCTATTTACAGTAAAACAGAATCCACATTAACTCCTCTTCTGGCTCATTAATTACTTCCACTACAGAACAAAACAACAACTAATCACTACCATCTTCTAAAGTGGTTTTGATCGTAAACGTTGAAGTCATATTGTTCCGCTTGAGATCAAGAAGCTGGAGACCCATGAACCGCCTGTGCTGAAGCTCGATAGCTTGCTGAAGCTCTCTCTGTTCTTCAAGCTTCCTACGAAGAAGAATATCCTGGTTGCCGCTCGAGTAAAGCATTCTTGCCCCTTAAATCAAACAAGGAAATCAATGTGAGAAAGTGCAGAAACGTAGGAGGCAGAGTAAAGTTGGTAATTAAATTATACTCATTGCGATAACTAACCGAGTTGCTGAAGGTCAAATGGGTCTCTGGAATCCAGCCCAGTTGGAGTTGTGCAACCAGAAAAATCTCCCCTATCCCCGTGCTGCTTCCTACTCAAGGTGAAATGAGAAGTTTTGATTAGTTGAAATAATAAATCATTAGCTTGCTTTAATGGTAGAGGAGGAAGAGAGACGTCAGAGAGAGTGCCTGTACTTGTCTGGGACTTTTCCCTTCTCTTTATAGGGTTTGACAAGAACTCGAGCGTCGCAGACGAAGTGAGGATTGCCCTTTGAGAGGATTAGTTTCACGGTCTCAGGGTAAAGGAAGGTGACGAACCCAAACATTCTCTTCTGCTGATATGGGATCCTCACATCCTGCACTGGTCCAAAGATGCTGCGAATTCGAACTAGGATCAGATTTATAGAGCAGCAACAAGAGAAAGATTGGATTTTTTATATGAAAAAACCAACCTGAAGTAGTTGGAGACGTCTTCCTCCCGGAAAGTGCTGTCCGCCGGGAAGGTTAAGTAAATCTGTCTTGAGACAGGGTTTACGATGCCGGAAAAATCATTCCCTTCTATTCTCGGCCGGCCTATGAACTTCTGTGGGTCTTCTCCTCCGAGCATCAGCGCTGCCGCTGCGGCGGCGGCAGCCGCCGCCCTGTAAAATTGGTCAAAACGCCAGCTTTAACATCTAGAAGAAGACGGTGAACCGGTTTTGTTTATAAAAAAGGAGTTACCTTTGGCTCTCGCTCCGCTGCTGCTGAAGCAGGAAGTTTATATTCATGCATTTCGGCGACGGCGGCAAAGGCCCAGTCGGCGAGTAAGGAAAGGCGGTCGAACCAGAGTTCATAAACCGCAAGCTCTTCGACCGGTCAACCACGGCGGCAGCTGGCTCGTCATGAAGAAAGCGACAGCTAGTGCCGTTCTTGCAGTATCCTCTCGCGAAGTAGAGACAGGGCTTCCACGGGTCAGCGGCAAAGCAGCGCTGGGCCCACCCCATGTCTTCGCCTGCTTGGAGCTGGAGCTCGTCGATTAGTTCATCGCCGGCTGAGGGCGTCGACCACAAGGAAGGGGAAGGGATGGCGAGCGGCTGCGGCCGAGCTAGTAGGCCGAGGTCTTTGTGTGCTTTGAAAACGAGGGACTGGAGAAGAGATTCCGGACCGAAAGCTAAGCGGATCATCTCCTTCTCTCCATGGTCTTGGATTAACAGAAGTCCCATGATCTTGGCGGCGTTCTCTGGATCCAAGTTCTGTATTCTGGAAAAAACGATTTTGGTTGCTTCGTATGCATCCATGGCCAAAAGAGAAGCTAAAGGTTGCTCCTTTATCGTTCCTCTTGCTTTTATCTATAAGAGCAGAGAGAAAGAAAGCCCTGCGAAGACGATAAAGAAAAAGAGCTGCCTAGTTTAATTAAACAGCTGCGTCTATCTACTCATCCGCTCACTGAAAGTCCATCTAAACTGACAAGCCTTCTTCATTCCTCTGCATCGATTCTTACTCTCTCTATTCTCCTCCGGCGGAGAAGCAGAGCGAAGAAGGAGAGAGAGAGAGAGTGGGAGAGTGTAGCTAGATCTGGATCTCTTCAAATAGGTCACGTTCCTCTCTACCTGAACCCTCGCCTCGCTTCTTGTTTCTCTCTCCTTTCACTCTCTCTCCCTCGAGTCAATGCCAAGCTTTACCGCTCTCTCTCTCTCTCTCTCTCTCTAGTGCTGCATTCCTTTTAGCTTAAACATGATTAGGCCAGAAGAGCTTTGTCGTCTTTACTCCTACTGTTTGTGTGGAGATGTTTCTGCTGTTCAAAATCGTGGCAGCGATTTCTGTAGCCGTTTATGTAGCCATTTCCATTTCCCAATTAATGCTACACAGACCACTTAAAGCTAAGCTCAAATTTCTTAAATATATTTATATTTGCATTGCCGCTCTAAATAAGCAGCACAACATTTCTTATTTATGAATATTTAAATATATATTTTTGTAAATTGTGTCATTGCATTCATTATTGGGAATCTTTTATAACTTATTAACTCTTTCCAAAGATTTTACTAAAAAAATATTATAATTAATTGTCCCAAATAAAACTTAAATTTTGTGCTATATAAATTTAATTGTTTTAGTATCAAATTATAATTATTTAGTATGACTCTAATTAACAATCTTAACAACATGATAGAAAATTTTTTAAGTTAATTCACTTAAACCTTTTTAGTTATGTACTAATTAATAATTAATCCACTTAATTTATAATATCAAAGAAACTTTTTTTTTTTTTGCAAATGAAGCATATAATGAGAATGATTATTTAGATGAGTTAGCAAATTTAAAAACTTACCTGCCTAACATTTTCAAAAAAATTAAAAGACTAATAAAAGTTTACAAAATTCAAGAAATGTGATAACTTCTTATCAACGTCTATAATCTAGAAGTTTAAGATTTCATTTGGAACAGCTTTCTTACTGTTTTGCTTCTTAAAACAGTTTTATAGTAAAAAATCAGTAAGAAAACGGACCCAAAGGGAAGCCTAAATTGCATACACTTTAGCTTTTCACCAATTTCTTAAAAAAATGAATGTTATCTCTCACATTTCAATATATTATCCGAATATTATTTTTTAGAATGTAGAATAGACCATCACTTACACTTACATTTGGCCGGCTTTTTCATCTATCAATTGGCACATATACCTTCCATCGCTTCATTATCGACATCATTTCTTGCAACAATATGTACGATTTTGACATCAACTGAACAATCACCATGGTATATTATCTGCATAATCAACAAAATGTCTACGTATGTTGCGCTAGTAAAGACATTAGATTTTGATTATAAGAAGAACAACGAATTTGAGGAAAAGATATGATTCATAGCTCCGAGGGAGAGTTCATGTTAACTTCTTCGGTCCAATATGCCTAAATTTATTCTTTCGTGTTTTGAATTTGAATAATTTTGAACTTCCGACCCAATATGTTACCTTTAAAAAAATAATTTAGAGGTGAACAAAGCTCCAAATGATAATAAAATGCATCAAAAGTTTAGCTCACCATAGTAAAATAATCATCCACAAAATCATCCAATTTTGACATCTAAAAAGTTTCAAGCAAATGTGCCCTAAGGTAAAATGCGACTTCGACTTTATTTATGACAACTTTCTTATTGTTTTATGAAGCAGCTTTATAATACAAAAATTACTAATTAAAAGAAGTAAGAAAACTATCTCAAACGAAACTTTCATTAGAATAGAAAACTATTTTCATAAATTGACCAATCAATTCATTAAGGTTGGATAAAAAAAATTTGATTGAACATATTATGCTAATTACTGAGCGCATGCTAAGAAAATTTATGATGATGAACATCAAGTTATGGTCCTAGGAATTTGGCTAGCCAATCATCACGAGATTATTAGAATCAAGAAGCAGCTCAATGGGCAAAAATAAAATATTTTTAATGACTCTATTCTTAGCAATAATTTCTATTTATTTATTAGTACTTTTGTGTAGAGATTTGGTCAGATGTAATTGACCTAATCTTGCCCATTGCCGGCCAAATTTAATTAAAAAAAATTAAAGATGGATTTTTTTTATTATTTTCTTTTTCTATAAACATTTTGGTGCCAGGAAAGTTAAGAAGATGGATTTTATATGCAAAGAAATGACCATAGATGTCCAAAAGTTAACCAAGAGACTAAGGCTTCGTTTGGGACGGCTCTCTTCCTGCTTCTTAAAACGGCTTTTTAGTTAAAAAGTTAACATTTTGGTACTAGAAAGTCTCTTTAAGAAGCATTAAGAAAGCCATCCCAAATGAAGTCTAAATCAATGATAGAGAGAGAGGATGTGAGAGAGAGGGTGTGAGAGAAAGAGAGAGAGAGAAACAATTCTCCTCTAGGGCATCATTCTCAATTTTATTTTATTTTTATTTTTTTTTTAATTCTCAATTTTATTTTATTTATATCATTCAAAAAATTTAAAAAAAAAAATTATTTCTAAAGCATCTTTCGAGTACTAAAAAAATAAAATTTTTGTATTAAAAAGATGCTTTAAGAAGCAGTAAGAAAACCGTCCCAAACGAAGCCTAAATCGAAATATTTTGTACTTTGAAATCACAATTAGCTTCTATTGTAATTAGGGCCATTCATTGCAAACATTTTGATGCCTTAGATTAATTATCAAATGGTCATAAGAATTTGTGAAATTGTAGACATTATTTGCTTAATAATTTTGATAAGATGCATACTTAATTTTGCGGAGAGTGAATGACAGAGAGAAATGGTACTAAAAGATAGCTATGATTAAAGATGTCATGATTTGTGCTCAAGTGATCTTTGTGTAAGTAGCCTAAAAAAAGATGATAATCCTTCTAACTTTTCATACCATTTTGATTACAAAAAGATTTATGTTCATATACTAATCAAATTTGATTAAGCATAACTTGCCTAATAAGTGTTCTTTGTAACTCATTAATTGTAGCGAGCAAGGTAATTTATGTTGATATACTAATCGAAGAAAAGATCCTTATAACTCATATCTATCATTAGGGAAAGTTATTTCAACTTCATAGAATTCTGTCATTTTTTTCGTAACTTTTTATGCGAAAAATTCTTATATCCCAAATATGCTTTACATATTTAATAACATATAGAATATCATTTAAGATTTTAACATATATATATATATATATATATATATATATATATCATCAAACAAACAAACCATAAATATATTTTATTTGAATTAACAATTGAATCTCAAGTTAATCAAATATCCAAAACTCTAAAAATAAAATATTAAATGATTGTGAGCACAACCTTAAATTATTAAAAATGTAATAATATCTTATATGGTACATACTAGGAATAAATAAAAGATGACATTTCTTCATGTCCATCATGAATATATAATTTGAATAAACCAAGTGATTATTATGATAATGATGTTAATGGGTGCACCTATAGTTGGTTTAGGTTTTAGATTAGGGAAGTAATCATAATTACACACTAACTAAATTGTATACAGTGTTAACTATAATTATAAAGAGATTAAAATAGTAATCCTATATTTATTGAAATGAGCCTAGAGGCCACACATTAACAAATCTACATATAATTATCTCAAGGAGGACCACCTAATGAACCCTAGGTATGCACATGTATAAAAAATTTAGGCTTTATTTGGAATAGCTTTCTTATTGCTTCATAAAACCGTTTTTTAGTACAAATTTTTTATTTTTTGAACTAAAAAGCTACTTTAAGAAGCAGTAAGAAAGCTGCCCCAAATGAAACCTTAGCCGTTTTAAAAGCTTTCATCATAACCAGAGAATCTCTCCTTCTCCAATGTTATTTATGTGGAATTCAATCTCATTTAATTGGGAGAAATTTTGTATCATATTATCTTAATTAAAACTTGATCATGATAATTTTTTATGAACTTTATTTTAAAATTATTATAATATATGACTAATTAATTACCTCCCATGTTATATTGAATTTAAAATACATTTAATAGATTGAACTTTTATTTTAATTATTTTTTAGTTAAAATATCCTCCTATAAATTTTCTCAATTGAATAGGTCTCAAGTGGAGCACATTATTTACAAGATTGCCATTTTGATGAATTTGGTAAAATCAATAAATTTCATTTTCCCTTTTCCCCTTTGTTTAGTTGAAGGGAAAAAGTAATAAATTAAAAAAATACTTTAGTTTGCAATCATATGAAGACCTTAAATTACTTTTTAAATAGTTGTTTTAGTAGGAAGAAAACCTTCAGAATTATAATTTAATCATTAAAATTAATTATTTTGTATTTTACTACTTTAGTCATAAATATTTGTTTTAATTTTTTTTGTTATTTTTGAAATTAGAATCCTTTAATTTTCTCACATTTGAACAGCTTTTGACCCAAATTAAATATCATTAATCTTATAATAAAAGTGAAAATGGCTTATTTATTTTTTTAATACAGTTTTACAAACCAAAAAATTACAAAAAATGACTTCCAATTTCAGTTCTTCCAAAGTTTAGACAACCATTATTATTATTTTTTAATTAAGTTTTATTTATATTAAATTTAAAATTTTACAGTCAAGTTTAAAATAAATAAATAAATATAGATTTCAACATATGGAGCTTACATGCAAAAAGTTCACATGGGATCCATTAGTCAAAGAAAGCAGCATTGCGGTGGCAAAACTCTGAACATGATTCTTTTTTCATTCATTAAACAATTATTTTCTGTGTTCAGAACATTTTTTTATAAGTTTTATTTGCCAAATATTTTAAAAAAAAATCATTTCTGTTTTTTTGGAACGGGATATCCATCCGCTGTTACCTCCTAAAGGACGCTTGGCAGCGTGACTAATCCTTGACTAACATAGAAGATGCACCCATCTCGGAAACCTCCTGGCCCGTATTTGATTGGGCCCCACTTAAGAGGTGCTGCCACTCGAGGGGAATCGAACACCAACCAAGCTAGGTATCGTTGGGTAAAAATCCATAATTTGCATGAGCAAGTTTTGTATTATTTATGTGAAATGACTGGCCTATGAAATAGTTTGCAATTTTAATTGATAAAATATGATTTTATTTAATATAATTTATCAAAATTTTAATTTCTAATTGATGTTTGTGGGGTGTTAGAATATAAGTGATGGTAGAGAGTTAAGTTCTTTGTTGCGGAGTATTGAGATTTGTAGCGCACACATATATAAAAGAGGAGTGGAAGAACTGTAAGAG